ATCAACTCTTTATGGAAAATCTTTATGAAGATGAAGGATAAGGAAGATGAGAGAGATTTAGTTCACCAAATACAAAATTGTTGATCGTATGTAAATATTATAATAATACATTGGACATGTATAACATTGGAAAGTCAATGAAACCTCATAAATCAATGTTACACTTTTTGTATGTTTTGTCATTTGAGTAAACAATTAATTTCTGATTAATTTATAAATTTGTATAATAATAATTACTCACTAGTAATGATAATCACAGTGATTATAATTAAAACATTGATAATAATTAACTTGATATCCAAACAGTTAAATTGAAATACTGAAATTGGAATTGATTGTTTCTTTTTATAACAATTAAGACATTTTATCAATTTACTAATGTAATTAACACGATTAGATTTGATTGTTACTTAATTGTTGCCCCACTATTAATATTTATCTTTGTCCCAATTACTATTTTTGATTTAAATTCAAGAATGACAATTTATAAGTAATCAAATAATTTCAATTTCTTCAGGTGATCTTATCCCTGCTGATGGTATTGTTATACAAAGTAATGATCTGAAAATCGACGAGAGTTCAATCACTGGGGAATCTGATCATGTAATTAAAAGTCCAGAGACCGACCCTTTCTTATTATCGGGAACTCATGTTATGGAAGGAAGCGGGAAAATGGTTGTAACTGCGGTGGGGATCAATTCCCAAACTGGTATAATCATGAGTCTACTGGGAGCAGCAAAAAAAGATAAAAAATTAATCAAAAAACAGAATGAAGGTAACAATATATATGAATTAATAATAGAGCCTAAATTAAAATATACCAATCATGGTTAATTTTAGAATCAAATGAAGCGCCTGCCGATCACGTAAATGATGAAGAAAATGAAATGGCCGAAGAAAAAAGTTCAAATAAGTCAATATTACAAGCGAAAATCACTCGTTTGGCCATTCAGATCACTTACATCGGTAAGTTGATCTTAGAAGATGAAATGTTTTCTAATTAACTTACTCTTAATTAAGGCTCTGCGATGGCTACGGTAACGGTGATTATCTTAATTGTCCGATATTGTATCAGTGAGTTTGCAATCGGTAACAGGAGTTGGTCATTTGCAACAGATTTATATATGTCAAGTTTGTTATGGTCGGAATAACGGTCTTAGTTGCTGTCCCAGAAGGTTTACCCTTAGCGGTCACTTTAGCGCTAGCCTATTCTGTTAAGGTAATACTAACAAAGATCATTTTTCAACTTTTTTATCTGATATTTAATTTGATTTCTGCTTAGAAAATGATGTTTGTAAATAATTTAGTGCGACATTTGGATGCCTGTGAGACTATGGGAAATGCGACGACAATTTGTTCAGATAAAACTGGAACTTTAACAACGAACCGGATGACGGTGGTCACCGCTTTTATCTGTGAAAAACTTTGGCATCAAATACCTCGAATTGAAGAACTGCCTCATGAAGTCGGTAAACTAATAGTCGAAAGTATATCAGTCAATTCAGGTTACACTTCGAAAATCTTGGTAAAATAGGACCAGAATTGCGTTGAGTTTTCGATCATTTTATTTGAACTTTTCTTCTTTTCTCCTCAAAGCCTCCTGAAAAACCTGGAGCATTAGCACGTCAGGTCGGGAATAAGACCGAATGTGGACTACTTGGTTTAGTTCTCAATCTTGGTGCTGATTATCAGGATATTCGAAATCAAATTCCAGAAGAATCTTTGTACAAAGTTTACACTTTTAATTCTAAACGAAAATCAATGAGCACAGTAATTAAAACCGAACGAGGTTTTCGAGTTCATGTCAAAGGTGCAAGTGAAATCATAACAGAAGATGTGATTACATTTTCGATAGCTCAGGCTCAATCAGAACTTTTCTCAGTCGGAAAAGTCTCGTTTCATTGTCGATATTATCGAGCCGGCAATGGCCTGCGAACCATAACAGTCGCTTACAAAGACTACGTGTATGGGAAGGCAAAAGGAGACAACGAAATTGAAATAACCAAGGAACCAGATTGGGACAGTGAAGAAACTATACTTTCAGGCTTAACGATGATCTGTATGACTGGACTCGAAGATCCTATTCGAGATGAAGTTCCATCTGCAATCAGAAACTGTAAAAAGGCCGGAATTGTAGTTCGCATGGTAACAGGAGATAATCCCAACACAGCGCGTTCGATAGCGACTAAATGTGGCATAATAACACCGAATGAAAATTTCCTCGTTCTCGATGGTAAAAAATTTAACTCTCTTATTCGTGATTCGAGCGGTAAAGTTGACCAAAAGCTATTTGACACTGTTTGGCCTAATTTACGAGTTCTCGCAAGATCAAGTCCGTCAGATAAATACATTTTGGTTAAACATATGATTGAATCAAAATTACATAATACTACTCGTCAAATAGTTGCGGTCACAGGTGATGGTACAAATGACGGACCCGCGTTGAAAAAAGCGGACGTCGGTTTTGCTATGGGAATATCGGGAACTGATGTTGCTAAAGAAGCCTCTGATATTATTTTGACTGACGATAATTTCACCTCAATCGTTGCCGCTGTTTTTGTAAATGTATTCAGTTTATTTAATTCAATTGACCATTAATATAATCGCCTGTTTAGTTGCGTTCATTGGCGCTTGTGCTGAAGTAACAAATTTTCATGAATTTAACTCAAATCTTGATATGACATTTTCCTTTCCTTTATCAGTTCTCCTCTTCAAGCCGTTCAAATGCTCTGGATCAATCTGGCAATGGACACTTTCGCAGGTCTTGCACTGGCTGAACAACCAACACCAGAACTGCTACTTGAAACCCTATGGTCGTAATAAACCAATCATATCCCGACGAATGGCTCGAAACATTCTAGGACAAGCTCTTTATCAAACTTTCATAATTTTGTCTCTGTTATTTTATGGTAAAAATGCTCATTTTTCGTATCAATTTCCAATAGATTTGCTATTGATTTCTTTTGAATTTGGAAGAAATTACCAAATGATTACCGTTGAATTATCTTTGTCCTGTGCCAATTCTGAAGTAATTTGTTCTTTTCGTTTGTTTTAGGTCCAACTTTTTTCGATATCGACTCGGGGATGCGTTTGCCATTGAACTCACCACCAACTCAGCATTATACTATTATTTTTAACGTATTGGTTTTAATGTCCCTCAGCAACGAGATTAATGCTCGAAAAATTAATGACGAAAGAAACGTTTTTGAATCTATTTTATCAAACAAAATTTACATATCAGTTATAATCGGAACTTTCATTACTCAGGTAAATATTAATATACTGGAATCTTAATCTTCCAGACTTTCCTTAATAGCAAATGATTCAATGGTTAATCTAACAAAGAGATCTTTGTTTGAGTTGGATTGTATTGAAGATTAATCATCTCTTTTTTTCAGATCTTGATCATCAACTTTGGTGGTATCGCATTTAAAGTGGTACCTTTAACGCTTGACCAATGGATTTGGTCAATATTTTTTGGACTATCAGCCTTAATTTGGCATCAAATTTTAATAACGATCCCGAAAAACACACTCTCGAAAAAGTTTACTGTTGGTTCAACGCCTCCTCAAATAGACCTGCTTAAGTATCAATCAGATTATTCCAAAGGTAATGGTCCATCAGGAAAAATCCTTTGGATTAGAGGATATTCAAGAATCAGAACTCAGGTAAAAGCAAATGATATCATTGAAATAAGAAGATTCAATTTTAATTTCGACTATTTTCTAATCATAGATTCGAGTTGTTCAAGCTTTTCGTGAAACTGTTGGTTCGAGGACATGATGCATTTTATATGGACAAAAAATCCTACCTTTACACTCTTAATTTAGTCTCATTTTAATTAAAAAATGAACTAATATAAACCAGAAAAATGGATTAATCAACCATTATTTGCATTAAAAATACCGATATATCAATAAAAATCGATCTAAATAGTAACTATTAATACTAATAAAAACCAGTATTCGTATGATGCTCTTAATCGTGACCATTAACAATAACTTTTTGATCGTCCTACCGAAAATTAGCATTGAATAATATCGGGATTAAAGTCTAAATGGTGATGAAATTAGTAAGTCTAAATTTGAAGATTTTTGTAGAACTCATTTCGATAGTTATCGAGATAATTTGCATCAATCGTTCCTTATATATGTAAAAAAATATTCTCATTAAAAAAGATCATCTCATTGATCTAATAATTACATAAACTTACAACATTCACTCCGATAAAAGTCTCTAATGTGATGTAAAATAGATTTTATTTGAACAATTAACTCTAATTTGAGTTAATTATCTATTAGGTTGTTTAGCTAAATGATTTTTAAGCTGCTTAATAAGTGCTTAGATTTTCATCTTTTTTAGTATCATTTGTTCCTGACCCTCGAATTGGCCTAGACCAATAGCCGGAAGTTTGAACATAGATCTAAATAAAACATTCAACCTTCAAGATCAACTGATATCGCTAATTGAATTGTTCAATCAAACTTAAGATTATGATAAAGCTGATAATGAAGACCTTATGATCAGAGCATTAAATGATGATTAATCTAGAAAAATCCAATCATGAGGATTATCTGCTTGTTAGTTATCAATTTGATTAACTTGCACAATAATTGAACTTAGTACATGAGTTTATATTTAGATCGAAGCTTATACATGTACATGGGTACAGGTTCCCTTGACTGAGATCAAGGTTCTACTAAAACTAGAAACGGAGCGACAGTCAATTGTTCAGTCAACTTGCTATTGACCATGAAAGTAGCAGATACTTGATAAAGTAGTGGATTTATTGTCTTAAACCTTCCAGGCTTTGCTTAATCTATTGTTAACTTTTACAGTGACAACCCAACTTAATTTAAATCTCTCTCAATCAACTCATTATCATTAATCAATTTATTAATCATCAGTTATTCCTTTTCAATAACAATTTTGTGACAATGTAACAGTAATGCTTCTCAGTGCAAATCCTGTGGCTTTAGTGTCAAGTTGTGATTTTAATTGTAAGTTGTTTTTTTTTCAATCATTTTATGTTGATTGTTTGATTGTCCGCGACTTGATTGACAAAAGTGATTGACACCATGGTTCCTAAGGTTGACATAATCTCCGATGGATCGATCTTCAATATTACTCTTGCTGAGCTTAAAAACCTCATGCAAACTCGAGGGCATGAAGCTTTTGACCGATTGAACGGGAAATTTGGCGGAATTCAAGGTCTATGTCGCGCTCTTGGAACAGCACCAAATGAAGGTGAGTATTTGGATCCATATGTGTGTTCACTTTGATGGTTTTATTGAATTTCCTTTTCTCTCTCCTTTTAGGATTATCCGGATCTCCGTCTGATATTGAAAATAGAAAAAAAATATTCGGTGTCAATGAGATTCCCAAGAAACCACCGAAAACATTCATAAAATTAGTCTTAATTGCTGGAAAGGAACCAACTTTATTAATCTTATTAGTGGCAGCGATAATCTCATTAGGTCTTACAGTTTATACTCCTCAAGACCAATCTCAAGGTAAATCACTAGTTACAATCAACTAATCATCATTTAAACGATTGATTAACATGGTTGATTTCAGGAACTCATTCTGATGAAGGAACAGCAAATTGGATTGAAGGAACCGCCATTTTAATCACTGTAGTTATTGTTGTTTTAATTACTGCTTTTAATGATTATTCTAAAGAGAAACAATTTAGAGGTAAGTGTATTGATTTGTAAATCACTTGATTAGATTATCTTTAATTACTTTATGATATTAATAATATTTTAATAGGTCTACGTGAACGTATTGATCAGGAAAGTAAAATATCGGTTCTTAGAGCTGGTGAAGTAAATCAAACTTTGATCAATCAAATTGTTGTTGGTGATGTGATACAATTAAAATATGGTAAGTAATTCAAACTATCCAATTAACTGAGTAATCAAATAGCTGCTCTTACAAATCATTTATCATCTAACTTTTTTTCAAATTCAAAACAATTATCACAACTGTTAATATCTGATTGAGTTGCTGATTGTTAAATTGACAAATACTTATTACCCTTTTGTTTAAAAGTACAATTAGCGTGATTAATTTAATCTAAAATGATTAACAATATAATAATGATACCTGAGATTAGTTAAAGTTGATCAACAAGTTAATTACTTTAGGAAACCTAATTACATGATGATTAACCTAAAAAAGTTAAAGAAGCTTCTTAATATTTGATCAACCATTGCAACAATAATCTAAATTACATTTGTTATTGTTGGGGATCGGATTGTTGCTCAATAGTGATTTCGCAAGTTAGTCTCTGGCCTAGTAGACTTATACAGCCACAGAAATTGAGTTTGGAACAGAAATTAAATCACTCGTGAACATAACCAATGCAATCATTAATCTGTGAATTGATAATATTGAAAATCATTTCGTTTTCGATAAGATAATCAAGTTAATCGCAGTTTAATCATTCAATGAGCGTAATGAAATAATTTTTGTATGTGTAATGGAAAGGTGACTATGTTATAAGAAGGTGAGTTACCTTGACACATCAAAGTAATCAAGATAAAAGGAGAAATTAGCTGGTCACTTGCACGGTGCTAGCCAATTATTAGGTAAACAACTAAGTAATGGCCAAAATTTTTTCGAGCTTACATTTGGCTTGATTGTTAAAAACTTTAGATTTTTGATTAATAAATTTAGTATAATTAGAGAGGTTAGATAATAAGCTTTAACATGATACATAAATGATCATTTTATGATGATTAGTTTAATTACAATTAAATTATATCTAAAGTGATAGAATTTTTGTTTTTCGATCTTTTTTATTCGGAGGTCATTTTTTCGATGAATATTGAACTTTCGAAGATTAAAATTAAAACAAAATATTCATTGGATATCTGAGCTACTATTGGATAAATTTGAACAATTAAAACGATCAAGTTCAAATTTTATTTAAATTTAATCAAAAAATCATTTACCATTGAAGAGATATTGTCTCTGGAGATTTTTACATGAAAATTGATTCTAAATCAAGAACTTCATGAAAATCGGCTCTTTATGGAAAATCAATGGTAAATGATTTTTTGATTAAATTTAAATGCCAATGAATATTTTGTTTTAATTTTAATCTTCCACCCAAAATCCACCTTATCTTATTCATATTTATGATGATGATTAAGTAATGATAATTAACTAACACTAATCAAGTGTTGAAAAGTTATATTTAAATGTAATTATTTGTTTACCAAAAAGTTAATCATGATTTAGTTAATCAAATTGAACACTTTTTTTCTGCCTTCAAAAACAAATTAACTAAAAGTAATAAATTAACAAACAGTTGATATCCTTAAATTATAACAATGAATTAGGATTACAATTAAATTTGATCTATTATTTAATACTTTAAATTACACACAACAATTTGATTTTCAATATAATAAATCATCAAGTGAAAATAGTTGTGAATCTTAATCAGGAAATGAATGAACCTCGTAAATGGGTTAACATGTAGACCAAGATGAAGATGATGAGGATGAGGATGAAGATAAGGATTAACTGTAAATATTCAAGGTTTGCTTTTTATTTCTCATCTTCAGATAAGGAAGATGAGAGAGATTTAGTTCACCAAATACAAAATTGTTGATCGTATGTAAATATTATAATATAAAATTGGAAAGTCATTGAATTTGTATAATAATAATTACTCACTAGTAATGATAATCACAGTGATTATAATTAAAACATTGATAATAATAAACTTGATATCCAAACAGTTAAATTGAAATATTGAAATTGGAATTGATTGTTTCTTTTTATAACAATTAAGACATTTTATCAATTTACTAATGTAATTAACACGATTAGATTTGATTGTTGCTTAATTGTTGTCCCACTATTAATATTTATCTTTGTCCCAATTACTGGATAATAAATTACAGGGTCGTGCAGGTTTATGATTTAAATTCAAGAATGACAATTTATAAGTAATTCATTCATGTATTCAAATAATTTCAATTTCTTCAGGTGATCTTATCCCTGCTGATGGTATTGTTATACAAAGTAATGATCTGAAAATCGACGAGAGTTCAATCACTGGGGAATCTGATCATGTAATTAAAAGTCCAGAGACCGACCCGTTCTTATTATCGGGTACCCATGTTATGGAAGGAAGCGGGAAAATGGTTGTAACCGCGGTGGGAATCAATTCCCAAACTGGTATAATCATGAGTCTACTGGGAGCAGCAAAAAAAGACAAAAAATTAATAAAAAAACAGAATGAAGGTAACAATACATATGAATTAATAATAGAGCCTAAATTAAAATATACCAATTATGGTTAATTTTAGAATCAAATGAAGTGCCTGCCGATCATGTTAACGATGAAGAAAATGAAATGGCCGAAGAAAAAAGTTCAAATAAGTCAATATTACAAGCGAAAATCACTCGTTTGGCCATTCAGATCACTTACATCGGTAAGTTGATTTTAGAAGATGAAATTTTTTCTAATTAACTTACTCTTAATTAAGGCTCTGCCATGGCTACGGTAACGGTGATTATCTTAATTGTCCGATATTGTATCAGTGAGTTTGCAATCGGTAACAGGAGTTGGTCATTTGCAACAGATTTACAATATATTGTCAAGTTTGTTATGGTCGGAATAACGGTCTTAGTTGTTGCTGTCCCAGAAGGTTTACCCTTAGCGGTCACTTTAGCGCTAGCCTATTCTGTTAAGGTAATACTAACAAAGATCATTTTCTCAACTTTTTTATCTGATATTTAATTTGATTTCTGCTTAGAAAATGATGTTTGTAAATAATTTAGTGCGACATTTGGATGCCTGTGAGACTATGGGAAATGCGACGACAATTTGTTCAGATAAAACTGGAACTTTAACAACGAACCGGATGACGGTGGTCACCGCTTTTATCTGTGAAAAACTTTGGCACCAAATACCTCGAATTGATGACCTTCCTCATGAAGTCGGTAAACTAATAGTCGAAAGTATATCAGTCAATTCAGGTTACACTTCGAAAATCTTGGTAAGAATAGGACCAGAATTGCGTTGAGTTTTCGATCATTTTATTTGAACTTTTCTTCTCTTCTCCTCAAAGCCTCCTGAAAAACCTGGAGCATTAGCACGTCAGGTCGGGAATAAGACCGAATGTGGACTACTTGGTTTAGTTCTCAATCTTGGTGCTGATTATCAAGATATTCGAAATCAAATTCCAGAAGAATCTTTGTACAAAGTTTACACTTTTAATTCTAAACGAAAATCAATGAGCACAGTAATTAAAACCGAACGAGGTTTTCGAGTTCATGTCAAAGGTGCAAGTGAAATCATAACAGAAAGATGTGATTACATTTTCGATAGCTCAGGCTCAATCAGAACTTTTTCTCAGTCGGAAAAGTCTCGTTTCATTGTCGATATTATCGAGCCAATGGCACTTAATGGCCTGCGAACCATAACAGTCGCTTACAAAGACTACGTGTATGGGAAGGCAAAAGGAGACAACGAAATTGAAATAACCAAGGAACCAGATTGGGACAGTGAAGAAACTATACTTTCAGGCTTAACGATGATCTGTATGACTGGACTCGAAGATCCTATTCGAGATGAAGTTCCATCTGCAATCAGAAACTGTAAAAAGGCCGGAATTGTAGTTCGCATGGTAACAGGAGATAATCCCAACACAGCGCGTTCGATAGCGACTAAATGTGGCATAATAACACCGAATGAGAATTTCCTTGTTCTCGATGGTAAAAAATTTAACTCTCTTATTCGTGATTCGAGCGGTAAAGTTGACCAAAAGCTATTTGATACTGTTTGGCCTAATTTACGAGTTCTCGCAAGATCAAGTCCGTCGGATAAATACATTTTGGTTAAACATATGATTGAATCAAAATTACACAATACTACTCGTCAAATAGTTGCGGTCACTGGTGATGGTACAAATGATGGACCCGCGTTGAAAAAAGCGGATGTCGGTTTTGCTATGGGAATATCGGGAACTGATGTAGCTAAAGAAGCCTCTGATATTATTTTGACTGACGATAATTTCACCTCAATTGTTGCCGCTGTTTCCTGGGGCCGAAATGTTTACGATAACATTTCAAAGTTTATACAATTCCAATTGACCATTAATATAATCGCCTGTTTAGTTGCGTTCATTGGCGCTTGTGCTGTTGAAGTAATTAACAAATTTTCATGAATTTAACTCAAATCTTGATATGAAAACATTTTCCTTTCCTTTATCAGGATTCTCCTCTTCAAGCCGTTCAAATGCTCTGGATCAATCTGGCAATGGACACTTTCGCAGGTCTTGCACTGGCTACTGAACAACCAACACCAGAACTGCTACTTCGAAAACCCTATGGTCGTAATAAACCAATCATATCCCGACGAATGGCTCGAAACATTCTAGGACAAGCTCTTTATCAAACTTTCATAATTTTGTCTCTGTTATTTTATGGTAAAAATGCTCATTTTTCGTATCAATTTCCAATAGATTTGCTATTGATTTCTTTTGAATTTGGAAGAAATTACCAAATGATTACCGTTGAATTATCTTTGTCCTGTGCCCATTCTGAAGTAATTTGTTATTTTCGTTTGTTTTAGGTCCAACTTTTTTCGATATCGACTCGGGGATGCGTTTGCCATTGAACTCACCACCAACTCAGCATTATACTATTATTTTTAACGTATTGGTTTTAATGTCCCTCAGCAACGAGATTAATGCTCGAAAAATTAATGACGAAAGAAACGTTTTTGAATCTATTTTATCAAACAAAATTTACATATCAGTTATAATCGGAACTTTCATTACTCAGGTAAATATTAATATACTGGAATCTTAATCTTCCAGACTTTCCTTAATAGCAAATGATTCAATGATTAATCTACAAAGAGATTGGTTGATTTTGGTTCATTAACTTATTATTTTCAACAACAACTTGATCTCCTTGTTCGAGTTGGATTGAATTGAAAGTATTGTAGATTGATTATCTCTTTTTTTCAGATCTTGATCATCAACTTTGGTGGTATCGCATTTAAAGTGGTACCTTTAACGCTTGACCAATGGATTTGGTCAATATTTTTTGGACTATCAGCCTTAATTTGGCATCAAATTTTAATAACGATCCCGAAAAACACACTCTCGAAAAAGTTTACTGTTGGTTCAACGCCTCCTCAAATAGACCTGCTTAAGTATCAATCAGATTATTCCAAAGGTAATGGTCCATCAGGAAAAATCCTTTGGATTAGAGGATATTCAAGAATCAGAACTCAGGTAAAAGCAAATGATATCATTGAAATAAGAAGATTCAATTTTAATTTCGACTATTTTCTAATCATAGATTCGAGTTGTTCAAGCTTTTCGTGAAACTGTTGGTTCGAGGACATGATGCATTTTATATGGACAAAAAATCCTACCTTTACACTCTTAATTTAGTCTCATTTTAATTAAAAAATGAACTAATATAAACCAGAAAAATGGATTAATCAACCATTATTTGCATTAAAATACCGATATATCAATAAAATCGATCTAAATAGTAACTATTAATACTAATAAAACCAGTATTCGTATGATGCTCTTAATCGTAACCATTAACAATAACTTTTTGATCGTCCTACCGAAAATTAGCATTGAATAATATCGGGATTAAAGTCTAAATGGTGATGAAATTAGTAAGTCTAAATTTGAAGATTTTTGTAGAACTCATTTCGATAGTTATCGAGATAATTTGCATCAATCGTTCCTTATATATGTAAAAAAATATTCTCATTAAAAAAGATCATCTCATTGATCTAATAATTACATAAACTTACAACATTCACTCCGATAAAAGTCTCTAATGTGATGTAAAATAGATTTTATTTGAACAATTAACTCTAATTTGAGTTAATTATCTATTAGGTTGTTTAGCTAAATGATTTTTAAGCTGCTTAATAAGTGCTTAGATTTTTATCTAATTGTAATATTTATTGATTCCTGACTTATTCTTATTTATGATCAAAATTATTAATTTTTCAGTTCTGGTTATCAATAAATTTACGTTTGAATTTTTCGTAAGTACAAACCAACAATGAGAGGCGCAGCTATTTAATTGTTAACGATTGAACTCACGTCAACTATATGATAGTTATTAGATTATCTTACTTGGTGAACCCTGCGGACTTTTCGATACAAATAACGACCATAAATAAGCGAAACCTTATCTGATATTAGGTCATAATACGAGTTTTATACTCAGAATGCTCTTTTTGAAGTTAATCACTCTCTCTTTTTTATTACTCGTTACTTGGACTAACAAAAGAAATCGATAATTACAGTGTTCAGCCCTATTCCAAACCAATTACCATTACCTTAAAACTTTATCTGAGTTCAACTGCAATTCTCACGCATCGAGGATTAAAATGAAATTTATTAGATTTGAATTAGGTTGGGTTGTCACTGTGAAAGTTAACAATAGATTAAGCAAAGCCTGGAGGGTTTAAGACAATAAATCCACTACTTTAGCAAGTATCTGCTACTTTCATGGTCAATAGCAAGTTGACTGATTAAAAGGACTTTCGCTCCGTTTCTAGAGTTAGTAAAACCTTGGTCTCAGTCAAGGGCACATGTACCCTTGTATAAGCTTCGATCTAAATATAAACTCAGGTTCTTAGTTTTCTGCTTCATTTTCAACTTGAACGTGCTGAGGTTCGAGTTTAATCATGAAAGTTTTTCAAGATTTTGTTTCAAGTGATTAGCTATAACTATAAAATTGTGAAGTGATTATTTAATTTGAATCAATGTAAGTGGATAATTTTGTTTTTATTATTCATAAGTTATTCTGTAATATTAAAGTACGAAGGAAAAAAATTACGGAGAAACAAAAAAGTCCTTAGAGGATAAACTTTTGGCCTTAGCTGCTGCTCCGTTCGTTTACATAGAACGTTCATTTGGACCTGAGGATCGTACTTTTGGAATTTAAAGGTAAGACGAAAAGATCGTTAGAAAAACTATATTCAGGCTCAAAAAAACGACCGCGAATTGGACAATTGAAGTTGATGCTCATCTCATTCGAGCCTTTTTGTGTCATTGCTAAAGCAAATCGATTTGAATCGATACATTGATGTTTAGTTTACTTTAAAGGTTGATTTTAACAAAGAGAAATCAATTTGGTTTGGAGCGGGAAATTATTCAGGAAATTCAAGGTTCCCCACGATTCATGCTCAGAAAGTTCTGACTCTGAGCAAGAAAATGATGTAAAGATAACTGTAAATTTGCCTCCTTTTTGTTTCTTTGTATTTTCATTGCTAATCAATTTAGTATCTTAATTGTTTCTAAATAATTCTGAATTTCAATTAAGAATTACCTGTTTAAATCTCCTTTTCTCATCTCATGTTCATCTACTGATTCAATTAGATTTTTGGTCAGTTTGATTTAAATCAGTTTAATTCGATTCTGTCTGAATATTGGTGATTATCAAGAATCGAAAGTCTATTTCTTTCCGATTCTTTTGTCTTTACCTCTCTATGTAAGTACACGTGTAATTTAATTGTTTATCTTCTGATTAGTACATATGATTTATTAATTGAAAATCACGTGAGTCATTTTGATAATCTTGTTCACTGTATCTCGTGAGCTACTGTTTATTATGATGTAATTAACTCCCTTTCTTTAATTAGTGAGCTCAACTTTTTGATCAGTCATCAGTTAACTGTTCAGACATTCAGTCTCTATTTAAATGTTAAGTTTTATTTAATTTTGATTCTTTGGTTTTTTATTTGATTGTTTTCAGCGATGACTATTCTGGATTTACCTCCGATTACAAGTGAACTTTATCATCGACGTGAGGATGGACTGGCCTCACCAATTTCTTCGCCTCTCGATAGTGACCAAAGTTCGTCTGATAGCAATGATTCTGATGAACCTTTTTTGCTTAAGTATCATTTGTTCCGGACCCTCGAATTGGCCTAGACCAAGAATTATCTCAGCCAGTCGTGTTCGATCTACTGAGGAAACTCGACCAACTCCGACTTTGCATCCATATGCTGATGTGCCAATAGCCGGAAGGTTGAACATTGATCTGGATAGAACCTTTTCTCGGTCAACTTGCTTGATGAAACCTAAAAGAATTGGATATTTCTCTTTAAGAATCGACAAGGAATTGAACAAGGAGATTTACTTACCCGATAAATCTCAATTACGATACTTGAGCCTTTTAAAAAGAGGCTCAAATCGTTTGAACTTGTTGAAGTATTTCGACCCTAAAACCGTTTGGTCTCGATGTCCAAGTGACCTTCATATTCTTCGTTGGTATATGGACAATAAAATCGATTTTATTTTGGACGAAACTCTTTCTAATTTGGAGCCAAATTTCATCACCGATATCCGTTCTTTAACAACGATTATGAGTTCACCTTATGATAAGTGGAACGATTGGGACATTATTGGTGTCAAGATCGGTGACAAAATTATTCTTCATGAAGTGGACACGACGATGAGAAAAAATTACATTGCTCGTCAAACGGACACTCAAAATGCTTCTTCTTATGCAGGATATAAATTTGAATCATTGGTCACTCGACGTTTCGATGGAAAGAAATGTTCAACCTACTACGGTGGACTTCGTGACTCTTTTCATGGCGTTTTAGTGACCAAGGTAGGTCAACATAATATTTTATACAACTCGCGCTATTGTTGCGCTAAAAACAAAAGTCAATTAGATGCCGCCTTAAATGACATGGAATTTGTTGAGATAAAAACTCAATATGGTTCTAGGGCCTGGCACTCGAGGCTTGTTGGACTTTGGGCTCGATCCATTCTCGCCAATACTGACTTTACTATTGTTGGTCAACGAGATGAGGATTTCAAGGTTGACCTTGCGAAAGTGAAATGGTATTACACAGATAAAATGCCTTCAGCTCGCAATCACTGGAGCCCAAAGACAATGGTTGAATGTCTTTTATCAACGATGGATTTTATCAAGTCTCAGATAATCGAGTCTAATATTGTTTATCGTTTCAACCATTCTCATGGAAATCCAATTGTTTGTCAACAATTAGATGAGCCATTTACTAAATTCATACCTGATTGGTACGTTGATTGTTAGTACCGAAGGTATCAGCAGAGTCGCAGACAAGTTCAAATTGATCAGCTGATGGAAGGAGATCTTAAGGCTTGAAGATGATCATCAGATTTTACCATTAGTATTTACAACACTCTGATCGACCCTTGTTTGATATCTGCTATTCAGATCATATTATTATTTTGTAACAGATGCAATTTAATTGCTCTGTCCAGTTATCAACCAATACCCAATTTGAGGTCAATAAATTAATACAAATTTCAATATGAAACCATCGATATTTTCTCAATTTAATCAACAACCGATAAATTAACTCTTTTATCCTTCAATTGACTGGATTAAGAAATGAAAAGTTAAGAAACTCATTTAATTATTGTGCAAGTTAATCAAATTGATAACTAACAAGCAGATAATCTTCATGATTTGATATTTTGAAATTCATAATCATAAAGTCTTCATCAAATTTTCATCGATCAACAATATTACCTTGATGCCAAGTTTTGTTCCGAAAAAAGTTGGACAAATACTTTCGATCGTCGGACTACACATGCAAGGTTAAGTGAATACTACCTGTAAAGGTAAAAGCAAAAGTCTAAGGGCGGTAAAAAATGTCAACAATGCACGTGTGATTTTTTGTATTCAACCTTTTGCAGGAATAATAGAAAATTTTCCAACTTGAATTGACTGAATATTAATTTCGCTCAATCGAGTTTTAGTCTCAGGTTGATTTTTACAAAGAGAAAACAATTTGGTTTGAAGCGGGAAATTATTCAGGGAAATTCAAGGTTCCCCATGATTCATGCTCAGAAAGTTCTGACTCTGAGCAAGAAAATGATGCAATGATAACTGTAAATTTGCCTTCTTTTTGTTTCTTTGTATTTTCATTGCTAATCAATTTAGTATCTTAATTATGTTTTACATCATTGATAATAATCCTCATCATTTATTTCTACTAATTGCCAATTTTAATCCCAATTTAAAGGTTTAAAACTTTCCAAAACTAAAATTAATCCCTTTAACTGGAACCTTTTGTCTGGGATCTTAAGTCATTGGTGCTTTTTAAATAGTCTAATCCTTGTTGGTATTCAAACCCAGCCAACATAAAAGTATCCCGATTAATTTGTATCTGTTTAAATCTCATTTGATTTAATTGTTCATCTACTGATTAGTGCATCTGATTTATTAATAATGCAACATCACGTGAGTCATCGTAATAATCTCGTTCACTGTAACTCGTGAGTTGTTGTGATGTAATTAACTCCCTTTCTTTAATTAGTGAGCGTAACTTTTTTTAATCAGTCATCAGTTAACTGTTCAAGTTCATACATCAGATTAAAGTTTCTATTTAAGTTTTTGTTTGTCTTTTGTTTGTCTTTTTATTTGATTGTTTTCAGCTATGACTATTCTGGACTTACCTCCGATAACTACTGAACTTTATCATCGAGTTTCATTGCCTTTTGGTTGGAACGATGGTGAATCATCTCAATTGATTGTTGATTCAATCGAATCTTATTTTTGCTTTAGTCTTGTTTGTTCCGAACCTTCGGATGTACCAAGACAAGCAATTGTCTCATTCGAGAATGTACAAGCTACAGAGGAAACTAGACCAACTCCGACATTAAACCCATACGCTGATGTGCCAATAATCGGACGGTTGAATATTGACCTTGATAAAACTTACTCGCGATCTACTTGTTTGATGAAACCTCAAAGAATTGGTTATTTTTCTCTGAGAATCGATAGAAAATTGAACAAGGAGATTTACCTACCTGATAAATCACAATTACGATACTTGAGCCTTTTAACAAGAGGCCCAAAGGAGTTGAACTTGTTGCAAAATTTCGACCCTAAAACTGTTTGGTCTCGATGTCCAAGCGATCTTCATATTCTTCGCTGGTATATGGACAATAAAATCGATTTTATTTTGGACGAGACTCTTTCTAATTTCGAGCCAGATTTTATCACCGATATTCGTTCCTTAACAACGATTATGAGTTCACCTTATGATAAGTGGAACGATTGGGACATTATTGGTGTCAAGATCGGTGACAAAATTATTCTTCATGAAGTGGACACGACGATGAGAAAAAATTCAATTGCTCGTCAAACGGACACTCAAAATGCTTCGTCTTATGCAGGATATAAATTTGAATCGTTGGTCACTCGACGTTTCGATGGAAAGAAATGTTCAACCTACTACGGTGGACTTCGTGACTCTTTCCATGGCGTTTTAGTGACCAAGGTAGGTCAACATAATATTTTATACAACTCGCGCTATTGTTGCGCTAAAAACAAAAGTCAATTAGATGCCGCCATAAATGACATGGAATTCGTCGAGATAAAAACTCGATATGCTTCTAGGGCCTGGCACTCGAGGCTTGTTGGTCTATGGGCTCGGTCCATACTCTCTAATACTAATTTTACTGTTGTAGGTCAACGAGATGAAGATTTCAAGGTTAACCTCACAAAAGTACAATGGGAATACACAGATAAAATGCCGTCGCATCGAAAGGGCTGGAGTCCAAAGACAATGGTTGATTGTCTTCTATCAACGATGGATTTCATCAAGACTCAGATAATCGAGTCTAATATAGTTTATCGTTTCAACCATTCTCATGGAAATCCAATTGTTTGTCAACAATTAGATGAGCCATTTACCAAATTTATACCTGATTGGTACGTTAATTTTTAGTGCCCAAGGAATCAGGAGAGCAGGTCGAAGTACAAAATATAAAAGTCAAGCCGCCTAGCCGTTGTAAGAAATTGATTGTGGAGACATCAGTTGAATGATTATTATAATGTTATTATGAATGTCGATACTTTGTATTAATGATGTGAATGCTAGTGCGAAGGCCAAAGCCAAGTTATTAAAATCAATATATTCAACGATTTAATTTTCCGTTCAAAGGCGTTAAAATGTTCAACCGATTTTGCCACTAGTTTAATAATTGTATTACTCTGATCGACCTTGGTTCGATATCTGCTATTCAGATCATATTCCTATTTTGTAATAGACACAAATTAATTGTTCTATCCAATTATCAATCAATATCCAATTTGAGGTTAATAAATTAATACAAATTTTCAACATGAAACCATCGATATTTTCTCAATTTAATCAACAACCGATAAATTAACTCTTTTATCATTCAATTGACTGGATTAAGAAATGAAAAGTCAAGAAACTCATTTAATTATTGTACAAGTTGATCAAATTGATAACTAACAAGCAGATAATCCTCATGATTTGATTTTTTAGATTAATCATCTTTTAATCCTCTGATCATAAGGTCTTCATTATCATCTTTATCCTAATTTTGAGTTTGATTGAACAATTTAATTAGCGATATCAGTTGATCTGATATGTAATTTGAATAGCAAACAATTAATCATCTAGACAATAATTAAATTAATGATTAAAGTGCAAACTAATACAGTTAATCATAAAGATCATCTGATTTAGTTAATTTTTTATATAATAATAATGACTCAGATTATCCAATCTTCCGCTGCTTATTTTATAATAGCTAATTAACTTCCTATTCACTGATTTATCTTGATCAATCAAACTACCATGTAAGGTTAACATTTCTCACGAGATTTTATAATTGTTTTTCTAATTAATCACAATTAGTTATCATTAGAAAACCTTAATTGGTATTATGAGTGAAAGTAATTGAAGGAAATGTGATTCCCCTTTACTTTACTTGGAAATCGCTAGACAAACGCGCTTTTAATGGCACTTTGTGGTTCACTTGTCGTTTTTAGCTGATCCATGCATAAGAAATTCTAATGAGTTGATACAAAGTGACCCATGATCATTCGGAAGGGCGAACAAATCATCTGAAAAGTTGATAAGAAAAAGAACAAGACAGAAAAGGCTTTCATAAAGTCATAATAAATTGTCAATCGTGATTATTTTATTAATTGTTGAGCTTTTGATCGAATGGAAATGTTACTTATTGACGACTCACGAATTCAATTGTCGATGACTGTTTTCGTCTTAATGCTCAATCTGATTGCTCACGAACTGCGATATTTACTCAAGGTCGTTCTCTAGTCTCAATAAGTGGAAACTTTAGTACACTAGTTATGGACCAAACCAAAGAACCGTCAATTATTATTGCTTATACACCGAAAATGACTTGGATCGATCTTTTCGTCCAAATTGGTTCCGTGCTCGGTACTTGGTTTGGTTTCTCAATTCTGATCCATATTCCAAAAGTATCTAAATTTTTAGTTTATCATTTCCATTCGTGTGTTACATGTTCAAAGTGTTACAAATCTCGAAGAAAAATTAAAGACTTACCACAAAAACGATCACTTGATTCAAAATTATCTTTAAGTTGGTCGAAAAAAAGTCAACAATCAAAATCTCTTAACCTTCCAATTCGTTATTTATCACCAAGGCGAATCCCGGTGCAAAGAGCGTGATAAGTTAAAGAGACAAAACTAATTTGACATCAATCCATTCATTATCTACATCTGATAGTTTGATAGTTGTCAATTTTAACTCCACTTGAAAACTTCAAACAATAAAAATAATCGCTTTAACTGGGACCAATTGTCTATCCCAGTAATCTCTGTAATGTATTATAATATTTATTTTATTTATAATTGAACATCAAAGATGAGTCCTTAGGATAATCTTGATTACAATATCTCGTGAGTTACCGTTTGTGATGTAATTACAGGGATGCCCTATGGGAAGTGTATGAAAGTAAAAGCTTGTTACAAGAGGACCAAAAAAGATTTTGAGATTTTTTTTTTTCAATTAGAAAAATATGCGAATTTACTTTCATACACTACCCATAGGGCATACCCATAGGGCATCCCTGTAACTCCCTTTCTTTAATTAATGAGCCAAATTTTCAATCAAATAATAATAAAGTTTCTATTTAAATGATAAGTTTTATTTGGTTTAGAAACTTTGTCTTTCTATTTGACTGTTTTAGCGATGACTTTTCGGAACTTACCACCGATTGCGTTTCGTCCAATTTTTTCAATTCTAATTGTAATTAAAATTAGGGGTCAAGTTGTTCTTGGCAACAATGTGTCTAAGAGTAACCTTAAGCTTCAATCTGATAACTTAATTTTTCTTGATTGTATTCATCAAAATTTTCCATAAAAAGTAAAAAAGTTTTCGTTCTTAATAATTATCACTCAGCTATCGAGGATTTTTTGCTTCAGATTATCTAATTTCATCTTTAGATGGCAGCAGTGAGCAATCATGAGAATTGTCATGAATGCTCAGTTAGATTTGAAGCTTCAGAATTAACTTGAAACGTCTGATATAATTTTCACTCAAAATGAATCAATCGGTTTAAAAATCAATCCTATTAACCATCGAACAATCAATATGCGACATTTTTCCATAGCTGAAAATTGTTCAAGTCGAACTTGTGTCAAGATTATATTAGGTAAACAACTAAGTAATGGCCAAAATTTCGAGCTTACATTTGGCTTGATTGTTAGAAAACTTTAGATTTTTGATTAATAAATTTAGTATAATTAGAGAGGTTAGATAATAAGCTTCAAGATCAATATAAGCCTTGAAAATATTAACAGAGTAACTTAATTAGCATAATAATCAATGACAATCTCTTGTGGGGCAAGAAACAAATTAATTAATTATTATTGTCAACGAAAATTTACAAACTAACAATGTTAATAGTTTTGATCTTGGACAATTCAACTTGTTTACTAATAAACGTTAGCGTTTCTGATTAATAATTCAGTTTCGAGATGGTAATTAGCTGAAAAGACAAGTAAAATTTATTACAGAAAATTAGAAACTTTTTAAATAAATGAATGTATAATTAGTTAATTAGCTAAGATATCGACATCACCACTATTATTATTATAATATCAACTTGTATGTCCATTGATTGAGACACTTCAAGTCAAGCAAGTTTCGAGGAAGCTATTTAAGCTCAAATCAGTTCTGATTAAACCATTAGTTTTGATTGTCATCAGTAATCATTTGAATAACTGATTTACTTTGTTAAAAAAAATTTAATTAAAGTTGGTAAAGTTTTTTTCCGTTTTTAAATAAAGTCTCAATTTTGACCATGGCAAAAGTTTTCAATCCAACCTTTATCCTCGCAGTGATTGTTTTGCTTGCAACGATGAACTTTGGTTACTTTGTATCAGCTGGTAAGTTTTAATCAGTTGGTTCAGTTAATTGATAACTTAAATCTATTTTTTGGTCAATTACTGAATTAATTTTTATTGAAGAAAATGAATTTTAGTTTCATTATATTTTTATGTTTACTAATATCAACTAAAGTTCTAGAAGACACTTGGACCTCCATAAGTTCAGGTGGATCGATTAGAGCTGAATCTAATAGAAAAATGGACCCAATGATCAGAAGAAAAAGAAGTGGAAAAAAGAAACGCTGTAGTCCAGCAAAATTGCCCTCCGGTACATCGTCTGACGCCGTTGGTGAAGCTCTTCACAAAGTCATGACAAATATTCCTTTGAATGGAATTAAGACTCTAGAACATTCAAATATCGGTGGTGATAGCGCTTGGGCTATCGGTAAGTGTTGGAATGGACTGAGCCACGATAGTTGTAAATCTTGTATTCGCGATCTTGTTGATAATATTTGGACAGAATGTGAAAACGCTAAAGGAGCACGACTCAGGGATAACAATTGTGGGATTCGATATGAGATTTACGAATTAACTTTTGATAACTCCGAAGATTCTTTTGTATTCAATAATTAATATTAATATCATCTTCTAGCTCCTATGAGTTGATGAAAGTTAAGATTATATTTGCGACAGGTATGATTTGATCCCAAATTTATGAAATTTTTAATCCATTTATTCAAAATTGTATTGATTGTTTGCAACTAATCTTGATTATTGAATTTATTAAATTGATATTATTTCCGTGCATCTAATCAATATTGACATATGACTTTGAATTTAATTGTTTTTCTCTTAATCAATTGAAAATTTTTCGACAAATGTTAACCAAATTTCCAGTATCTAAAATGCTAGAATTGATTATTGATTCAATCGAATCTTATTTTTGCTTTAGTCTTGTTTGTTCCGAACCTTCGGATGTACCAAGACAAGCAATTGTCTCATTCGAGAATGTACAAGCTACAGAGGAAACTAGACCAACTCCGACATTAAACCCATACGCTGATGTGCCAATAATCGGACGGTTGAATATTGACCTTGATAAAACTTACTCGCGATCTACTTGTTTGATGAAACCTCAAAGAATTGGTTATTTTTCTCTGAGAATCGATAGAAAATTGAACAAGGAGATTTACCTACCTGATAAATCACAATTACGATACTTGAGCCTTTTAACAAGAGGCCCAAATGAGTTGAACCTGTTGCAAAATTTCGACCCTAAAACTGTTTGGTCTCGATGTCCAAGCGATCTTCATATTCTTCGTTGGTATATGGACAACAGAATCGATTTTATTTTGGACGAGACTCTTTCTAATTTGGAGCCAGATTTTATCACCGATATTCGTTCTTTAACCACAATTATGAGTTCACCTTATGATAAGTGGAACGATTGGGACATTATTGGTGTCAAGATTGGTGACAAAATTGTTCTTCATGAAGTGGACACGACGATGAGAAAAAATTCAATTGCTCGTCAAACGGACACTCAAAATGCTTCGTCCTATCGACGTTTCAATGGTAAGATATTTTCAACCTACTATGGTGGACTTCGTGATTCTTTTCATGTCATTTGGCTTTTTCGGCATTTATTTCATAAATTATACAACTCTCGCTATTGTTTCACTAAAAACAAAAGTCAAGTTGACGTCGGCACTGCCACGCCTGGAACTCAAGACTTGTTGGGCTTTGGGCTTTATCCATACTCTCTTATACTAACTTCATTGTTGTAGGTCAACGAGATGAAGATTTCAAGGTTAACCTCACAAAAGTACAATGGGAATACACAGATAAAATGCCGTCGCATCGAAAGGGCTGGAGCCCAAAGACAATGGTTGATTGTCTTCTATCAACGATGGATTTCATCAAGACTCAGATAATCGAGTCTAATTTTGTTTATCGGTTCAACCATTCTCATGAAAATCCAATTGTTTGTCAACAATTAGATGAGCCATTTACTAAATTCATACCTGATTATCATAGATACCTAGATTATTATATATCAACGTACCGTTGATTGTTAGTACCGAAGAGATCAGCAGAGTCGCAGACAAGGTCAAATTGATCAGCTAATGGAAGAAGATCTTATCGAGGCTTGAAGATCATCAGATTATACTATTAGTATTTACAATACTCTGATCGACCCTTGTTCAATATCTGCTATTCTATCTGCATATTTACTAATATCATATGATGCATTATGCTTTCGGGAATTTCACCAAGGTTTATTCCCTTAATGGTTAATTTTTTGGTGTATAATTAAAAAATCAATCGATTTCTAAACTCATGATCTGCACTGTATAATGAGATTAACAGAGTAACTTAATTAGCATAATAATCAATTACAATCTCTTGTGGGACAAGAAACAAATTAATTAATTATTGTCAACGAAAATTTACAAACTAACAATGTTAACAGTTTTGATCTTGGACAATTTAACTTGTTTACTAATAAACGTTAGCGTTTCTGATTAATAATTCAGTTTCGAGATGGTAATTAGCTGAAAAGACAAGTAAAATTTATTACAGAAAATTAGAAACTTTTTAAATAAATGAATGTATAATTAGTTAATTAGCTAAGATATCGACATCACCACTATTATTATTATAATATCCATTCGTATGTCCATTGATTGAGACACTTCAAGTCAAGCAAGTTTCGAGGAAGCTATTTAAGCTCAAATCAGTTCTGATTAAACCATTAGTTTTGATTGTCATCAGTAATCAATTTAAATAACTGATTTACTTTGTTAATTAAAGTGCGTAAAAATTTTTCTCCGTTTTTAAATCAAATCTTAATTTTCACTATGGCAAAAGTTTTCAATCCAACCTTTATCCTCGCAGTGATTGTTTTGCTTGCAACGATGAACTTTGGTTACTTTGTATCAGCTGGTAAGTTTTAATCAGTTGGTTCAGTTAATTGATAACTTAAATCTATTTTTTGGTCAATTACTGAAGTAATTTTTATTGAAGAAAATGAATTTTAGTTTCATTATATTTTTATGTTTACTAATATCAACTAAAGTTCTAGAAGACACTTGGACCGCCATAAGTTCAGATGGATCGACTACCTGCAAATACACCTACATTTATGGTAACAATTTTTAAAACTGCTCAACCACTGATACTGATGTTATTTTTATTTTCTTAGATAACGATGGCTATTTAGTTGGTCCTGAGGAAATAATTAGCGAACCCTTTGATTGTGGTGTTGGAAGTGCTAATTGTACCTTTACTTTGAAATTCATTAAAAGTTCTACAACTCAATACGAAGGAGCCGATAAATTGGATGCAAGAAGTTTCGAAAGTTTAAAGAGACGTATTCGTCAATTGGCTATTAAATCTGGTTTAAATTCCGAGGAATCGCTTATTGAAGAGGGGGCAAAGTTGTGCACCATTAAACCAGGACATCGGGTGAAAATAGTATCAAGACCTCGCTATCATAAGTTAACCGGTACTCTCGAAGAGCGATGTCTTACTTCATGTTCAGACTGTATCGAATCTATCAGATCAGTCCCATTGGAAATTAAGATACCTGTTAAGAGTAACAGTTATAATCAGATAGCTGGGAGTATACGCTGTAAGGTTGAACCCAATTTAAAAATCCGCGCAATGACCAAAAGACATTCATTTGACCTCTGTACTAAAACGAAATGTACTTGATGTTGAAGTTGATGAAAGATACGATTGTATTTGCGACACGAGAGTTATGCTTTGACCCCAAATCCATGAAACCATTAATCGATTGATTCAAAATTATCTTGATTGTTTGCAACTAATCTTGATTATTGAATTTATTAAATTGATATTATTTCCGTGCATCTAATCAATATTGACATATGACTTTGAATTTAATTGTTTTTCTCTTAATCAATTGAAAAGTTTTCGACAAATTTTAACCTGACTTTAGTCATGTAACATCAGCCAACTGACTAAACCCTCGGGCTTTTCATCACCCCTTTTCTTTGGTCCAATATAATATAATAATATTGGTCCACTGTAATAGAGCTCATCTACTCTATCTCGTTGATTGTCTTAAATCGTTGTATCGGTGCTCGAGTCTAACGTTATAATCAATTGGTGACCTAATTTTTTCCCACTCAATTCGATGCATCATTTCAAAATATTTTCTTATTTACAGTGTTTCCCGATTGAAGAAACCAAACTTTCAAGTAAGAAAACCTTTTTTTCATTTGAAGAAACAAAATGACTTTTAATTGTGATTAATTAATTAATTCTAAGTCGAAATCACATGTATGATGATTTTGAATATGAAACATTAGTAAACCCATATTTTCTTTAACATTAATAGCCAAAAAATGAAGGCCCGAAGTCTCGTATCATTGATCTCGATTGGTATACGAGTAAAACCATTTGGGTTTCTCCATATAAAAACTAACAATATGTAAATTCGAATTTTTATCTTCGGTTACTTCAAATGAAAAAAAAGGTTTTCTCAATCGAAAATTTGGTCTCTTCAATCGGGAAACACTGTATAATTATCAAAATTTTGGATAAAAAGTAAAAAAGTTTTTGTTCTTAATATTATCACTAAAATATCGAGGATTTCTTGCTTCAGGTTATCTAATTTTATCTTTAGATGGCAGCAGTGAGCAATCATGAGAATTGTCATGAATGCTCAGTTAGATTTGAAGCTTCAGAATTAACTTGAAATGTCTGATATAATTTCCCGCTCAAAATGAATCAATCGATTTGAAAATCAATCCTATTAACCATCGAACAATCAATATGCGACATTTTTCCATAGCTGAAAATTGTTCAAGTCGAACTTGTGTCAAGATTATACATATTATTGTACTATGATATACAGCCAAAGACTTTGAGTTTACAACCACTTTTTAAATCATTCACGCAGTCAATGATAAGCAAATAAAGATAACTTTTGATATCTGACCAGTTGACCATTTTAAGACTACATCACTTAAACTAGTGGACAGACTTATCATCATATCTTTGGGTTAACTGTATCTCTCATTGATTATATTCAACTGCGTGAATGATTTAGAAAGTGGTTGCAAACTCAAAGTCTTTGGCTGTAGATGAGAATCGTGAAAGTACCTGGAAGTTTTCTCTTATTCGGTTATCATTGTAATTCATTTGTGATCTTTTAGATTTACTGAAGAAAAAAGGACTAAACCTTGTCCTTATGGCGATTTATACGAATACTTATATAGAATTAGAAGTGATTCTTAAACTTATGTCGCGCACTGTATGATGAGATTGAGATTTTCAATTTAGGTGAGCAACTGGTAAAACCATTATATTGATCAAGATGAATTGAAAACCTTGAAAATATTAACAGAGTAACTTAATTAGCATAATAATCAATTACAATCTCTTGTGGGGCAAGAAACAAATTAATTAATTATTGTCAACGAAAATTTACAAACTAACAATGTTAATAGTTTTGATCTTGGACAATTTAACTTGTTTACTAATAAACGTTAGCGTTTCTGATTAATAATTCAGTTTCGAGATGGTAATTAGCTGAAAAGACAAGTAAAATTTATTACATAAAATTAGAAACTTCTCAACACAATTTGATTCCAATCAGCAAACGATTCGCAAGCACGTTACTTAAGCGAAAGGTTTTTTAGAGGAAAATATTTAATTGTCAACCGTAATTGCTCACCCATCTTCTTAGTTATTGATCCAATTAAAATTTGAAGATTCTCATCATCCCAACCATGCTTTGAATATTTTTCTGAAAAATTTTTATTCAACTGAATGAATATCAAGATTAAAATCGATTTCTCTTAAACTGCTTTGTAAAATCGGCCCAGAAAAGAAAAAATATTAGATTTAAATTGATAAGAAATTTAAGCAAATTAATTGTTGGAATTGAATAAATTTGATATCGTTTTAAAGATGGTTAATCAGTCTTTTGATTTTGAAATTTTCATGATTAATTAAGCACCCGTTTTCGAGAAATTGACCAACAAATAAAGTAAAACTAAAAAGTGACATTACTTATGTGGATACCTAATAATAGTCGAATAAAAATTTTGATGATGAAATTTTTTCTAATTAACTTACTTTTAATTAAGACTCTGCGATGGCTTCGGTAACGGTGATTATCTTAATTGTCCGATATTGTATCAGTGAGTTTGCAATCGGTAACAGGAGTTGGTCATTTGCAACAGATTTACAATACATCGTCAAGTTTGTTATGGTCGGAATAACGGTGGTCGCCGCTTTTATCTGTGAAAAACTTTGACATCAAATACCTCGAATCGATGATCTTCCTCATGAAGTCGGTAAACTAATAGTTGAAAGTATATCAGTCAATTCAGGTTACACTTCGAAAATCTTGGTAAGAATAAAATCAGAATTATTTTAAGTTTTCGATCATTTTATTTGAACTTTTCTTCTTTTCTCCTCAAAGCCTCCTGAAAAACCTGGAGCATTAGCACGTCAGGTCGGGAATAAGACCGAATGTGGACTACTTGGTTTAGTTCTCAATCTTGGTGCTGATTATCAGGATATTAGAAATCAAATTCCAGAAGAATCTTTGTACAAAGTTTACACTTTTAATTCTAAACGAAAATCAATGAGCACAGTAATTAAAACCGAACGAGGTTTTCGAGTTCATGTCAAAGGTGCAAGTGAAATCATAACAGAAAGATGTGATTACATTTTCGATAGCTCAGGCTCAATCAGAACTTTTCTCAGTCGGAAAGTCTCGTTTCATTGTCGATATTATCGAGCCAATGGCACTTAATGGCCTGCGAACCATAACAGTCGCTTACAAAGACTACGTGTATGGGAAGGCAAAAGGAGACAACGAAATTGAAATAACCAAGGAACCAGATTGGGACAGTGAAGAAACTATACTTTCAGGCTTAACGATGATTTGTATGACTGGACTCGAAGATCCTATTCGAGATCAAGTTCCGTCTGCAATCAGAAACTGTAAAAAGGCCGGAATTGTAGTTCGTATGGTAACAGGAGATAATCCCAACACAGCGCGTTCGATAGCGACTAAATGTGGCATAATAACACCGAATGAGAATTTCCTTGTTCTCGATGGTAAAAAATTTAACTCTCTTATTCGTGATTCGAGTGGTAAAGTTGACCAAAAGCTATTTGACACTGTTTGGCCTAATTTACGAGTTCTTTGTATTTTCATTGCTAATCAATTTAGTATCTTAATTGTGTTTTACATCATTACAATTGTTTCTAAATAATTCTGAATTTCAATTAAGAATTACCTGTTTAAATCTCCTTTTTCATCTCATGTTCATCTACTGATTCAATTAGATTCTTGGTCAGTTAGATTTAAATCAGTTTAATTCGATTGTGTCTGAATATTGGTGATTATCAAGAATCGAAAGTCTATTTCTTTCCAATTCTTCTGTCTTCACCTCTCTATGTAAGTACACGTGTAATTTAATTGTTTATCTTCTGATTAGTGCATCTGATTTATTAATTGAAAATAACGTGAGTTACTGTTTATGATGTAATTAACTCCCTTTCTTTAATTAGTGAGCTCAACTTTTTGATCAGTCATCAGTTAACTGTTCAGACATTCAGTCTCTATTTAAATGTTAAGTTTTATTTAATTTTGATTCTTTGGTTTTTTATTTGATTGTTTTCAGCGATGACTATTCTGGATTTACCTCCGATTACAAGTGAACTTTATCATCGACGTGAGGATGGACTGACCTCACCAAGTGCCGAGAATGATCTGAAACTTATTTTTGAGACCATCCTAGTATGGGTTAACATGGTTGATCAAGCACTTTTTTCGTTTGATCAACAGTTTTACCGGAATGAGAGAGTGGCCTTTGATCTTCGAGGCCTAATCGAGGTCTCGATGTCCAAGTGATCTTCATATTCTTTGTTGGTATATGGACAATAAAATCGATTTTATTTTGGACGAAACTCTTTCTAATTTGGAGCCAAATTTCATCACCGATATTCGTTCTTTAACAACGATTATGAGTTCACCTTATGACAAGTGGAACGATTGGGACATTATTGGTGTCAAGATCGGTGACAAAATTATTCTTCATGAAGTGGACACGACGATGAGAAAAAATTACATTGCTCGTCAAACGGACACTCAAAATGCTTCGTCTTATGCAGAATATAAATTTGAATCGTTGGTCACTCGACGTTTCGATGGTAAGAAATGTTCAACGTACTACGGTGAACTTCGTGACTCTTTCCATGGCGTTTTAGTGACCAAGGTAGGTCAACATAATATTTTATACAACTCGCGCTACTGTTGCGCTAAAAACAAAAGACAAGATCTTCATTATCATCTTTATCCTAATAAATAAGAGATACAGTTCACCCAGAGATATGATAGTAATTATTTTCCACTTTTTTAACTGGCGTAGTCTTAAAATTAGATATCAAAAGTTATCTTTACTTGATTATCATTAACTGAGCGAATGATTAATTGTATTAGTGAATCTTGACAATTTCGAGTTTGGCTCTAAGCTCTGAAAGTTTTCAAATTGTCTGACTTTTGTCCAATCAATTACACTCAGACAAAAAAAACAACAAATGTACCAGTTCAAAAAGATGGTCGATTATATCAAAATCATCGATTACCATCGATTATTTGTTTATTCGATTTTGAAAGCTGATCATCAATTTTTTTTCTCTCTCCTTTTCTCTTACATTTATGAGCGGATTCCTAATATTCTCAATACGGTGATAGAAATATAATAGTTATACAAAGGAGTTGATAAATTGGATCCAAGAAATTTAAAAAATTTAAATAGACGTATTTGTCAATTGGCCAGTAAATCTGGTTCCAATTCTACCATTTCAAAACTGATATTATTCCGTGCATCTGATCAATATTGACTTTAAATTTAATTGTTTTTCTCTTCAGAAATTTGCAAGTTTTCGACAAACTTTAACCAAATTTCAAGCATCTATTATAATAGAATGCTAGAATTTATCATTGAATCATTAGAAAATGACTTTAGTCATGCATAAAAAGTAAAAAATTTTTGTTAATAATAATCACTCAACTATCGGGGACTTATTGCTTTAGATTATCTAATTTTATCTTTAGATGGCAGCAGTTAGTAATCGGAGAATTTTCATGACTCAGCGAGACTTCAAGCTTCAGAATTTTGATTCTTTGATTCTTAAAATTATGTCACGCACTGTATTCTGAGATTGAATTAATTGAAATGAGCTATTGGTAAAACCAGTATATTGATCAAGATGAATTAAAAACCTTGGAAAAATTAACAGAGTAAATTATCATAAGAACCAATGACAATCTCTTGTGAGGCAAGAAAACAAGTTAGTTAATTATTACCAATGAAAGTTTTACAAACTTACGATAATGTTAATAGTTACGATCTTGAACTTTACTCAATTTAACTTGTTTAGTAAACGTTAGCGTTTCTTATCAATAATTCTGTTTCGAGATCGTAAATAGCTGACAAGATAAGTAAAATTTATTGCAAAAAATTGAAAAATTATTCAATAATTGATTGTGTGATTGGTTGATTAGCTAAGATATCGACATCACCACTATTACTATTATTAACATCCACTCGTATGTCCATTGATTGAGACACTTCAAGGCTAGGGAGCAAGTTTTGAGGAAGCTATTTAGGCTCGATTCAGTTTAGATTAAACCATTAGTTTTGATTATCATCAGTAATTTAATCTGATTTACTTTGTTAATTAAAATTAGTAAAGTTTTTCTCTGTTTTTAAATAAAGACTGCTGGTGGTCATCATGCCAGGGAAAGTCATGGAAGAGACGAGGATGTCCATCAGATACTGAAGAAAAAAGTTCTAAACCTTGTCCTGATGGCGATTTATACGAATGCTGTGAAATTGGAAGCGATAAACGCCAATACGTGTATCCAATTGAAATCAGTTTATTTATATAAGAAAAAGGAAAACATTAATTATAAAGATAATTAATTTACTTATGGAAAATAAACTTTTGTAAACAGAAATCAATCAGCGATTTTATCAGTTACAAAATCGATTACGATTCTAACAAGTTTCCTCGATCATTAGTTGTAATTGTTTACAAATTTCCAGCACAATTTGTTATTGTACAATCAGCTAATTAATATAATGAGATTGAGATTTTCAATTTAAATGAGCTATTGGTAAAACCAGTATATTGATCAAGATGAATTAAAAACCTTGGAAATATTAACAGAGTAAATTATCATAAGAATCAATGACAATCTCTTGTGAGGCAAGAAAACAAGTTAGTAAACTATTAGCAATGAAAGTTTTACAAACTAACGATAATTTTAATAGTAACGATCTTGAAATTTACTCAATTTAGCTTGTTAAATAAGATTTTATTAGAGATGTGTTCGTTCCTTCAATACAATTTGATAACCATTTTCCTTGTTTTGAGTGAGAGTTTTAAAGTAACAATTTACTCGTCTACAAATCAGTCAGAAAACTGGAAAACTATCCATATTAATGATTGTGTCAACTTGAATGAACATTTCGAATGTGTGAGGAAATCTAACTTGTCTAGTCCTTTTCAAGTTTCCAGCTCTAAATCGGAATGTAACTTCAAAATGATGGTCGCGGACAATGCAGAGTCAATAGATACTCAAGGTAATTGTGTCCGCGTCTACCGTAACTACGATTGTAATGATATTGTTGGCCCAAGAATAGAGCCAGGATCAAGCTGTCATAGTAATTGGGCTGCTAGTGAATGTGGCTTTGCGAATGATATTCGGTCAATCAGCGCATGTGACAAACAATTCGTCAATCAAATTAATCGAATTAAACGCTATATGAATCTATGTGAAGAACATGAAACTCGAAATGGTGAACCAATTTATGTCATGTTTATGAATGTTGGTGGCGTAAAAGTTCCTACTTGGTTGGAAACGAACATATATACAGCGTTTAGCTCAAGAACTGAATTTCGAGGAAGTTCTTGGGCAAAAAGATTCAACTTAATGCAAGGCGTAGCTGGCGTAGATGCCAGAGGTCACTTGCTAGCCTCTTCTCTTGGAGGAAAAGCTGAGGACTGGAACTTTGCTCCTCAAAGAAAAGAGATCAATAATGGTGATGGATCCGGTGAAGGGTGGAAATCGTTAGAACTTCGAATTTTGAAGCACTTGCGTAAAAATTCATGCAATTATGTTTACTGGCACCAGAGCATCGATTATTCGACATCACCACGGCCGGATTCCTTTACTGTTGTAGCTGACTTCTATGAGACCTTGAATAAGCAGATAGTTCACATTGAAAGGTTTGAACTCATGTGCTACAATTGGTTTGAATACTCAGACGATGGTTTCTGTTCAACTAATAGTACACCCTTTCCTGATGGAAAATCTCAAGTTTGATTAAATCTATTTCTTCGGATCGTAAAACTAGCTGATTAATTTATCATGACATTGTGAGATATAAATATTTATAAATACTATTATTAAATTATTATATTATAGTGATTAGTATTGCATTATCAATGGATAAAAAATTTTCCTGGTCCGTGTTGTTACGAGCAAATAGTTCATGTATGTAACCTGATGGTCAGCTAATCAGAAGTATCTATTAAATGAAAAGTAATATTTTGATCATTATAAAAGTTCTAAAATCATTATTAGAGGTCAGATCAATGATTCTCACTATGAAGAGTAAGATTTATGATATAAAAATCTATGTCGACAGAAATATGTATAAGATTTGTTAAAGCAACATGTAATCATGCATTTCACTTAATTAACGAAAATAAAATGGTATCGACTTCAGTGATCGCTATTCTGTTTGAGCTGTTTCTATTCAGTTATATTATATATTATATATTGCTCAGTCACTTCTCTGACACCCAGTCCACCAAAAATCTGTAACAATAAATAATTACAAGCAAAACATTTAACAGTACATGTACAGTCAAGTACCTAAAATTGTCCACTTTTTGTACGGGTTATTCGTAGAGCGGGTGATTTGAAAGGGGTGAAAATTAATCAATAATTTTGATTAAAAAAATATTTTACTTGAACTAATCCTCTAAACAATCAGAAATTGTCATGAAAATGATAATTTTAATCTTATTAAATTATTTTTATGAGATTTAATTAAGAAAAAAATATTCGCTCTAATTAATTCAATGGGGGGTTAGTTCCAATTAGAAAGATGGAGCTACGATCGGTAGACAGTTTTGGGTACGGACAATTTCAGGTACTTGACTGTATATGAGAAAAATAAATATAATGATCAGGGCCACGAACAATTAACTTCTTAGTACTCACCATCTGATACAAAGTTACTAAAGTTAATCGTTGTCAACAGGACAATCACTTATACAGGGCGATTACGTTAAATTAACAGATTTGTTGAATAATTGAGAACGGCGAGTCGTTGACAAGATCAGATCGCAGATGGACTTGGGAGACCATGGAATTTGTTTGACATCAAGTTCGAAACTGACCTTCGGTAGGCCAAAGTCCATGAATCGCTAGTCCCAAAATTATTGGTAAAATTTTGAAATATTTTGCTCTTTTAAAGCCAGAAAATGATTTGCTCAAAGCGACATTCGGACGGACTTTTGGCCTACCGAAAGGTCAGTTTCGAACTTGATGTCAAACAAATTCCCATGGTCTCCCAAGTCCATATCTGCGATCTGATCTTGTCAACGACTCGCCGTTCTCAAGTTATTCCGAAAACAAATCTGTTAATTTAACGTAATCGCCCTGTAGAATGAAACTTGGATTAGTAACGTTTGGTGAAAATTGACTTGAATTAAACAAAGAGACAAAAAACTTTTCCCTCTAGTTAACAAAGCTTAACATTTATTCGAATGATTACTGATGATAATAGAAACTGATAGATTAATCTGCACTGAAATGATCTTAAATTCCTTCTTCTAGCGTTTCTCGAGACATTTGTATTGTAACAATCAATTTTGTAATTTATATGATTTGAATTCATCTAATCATTACGAAAATTTCTTAACCATGTTATTATGTGATCAATCTAATTAACCGAATTTCAAGATCTGAGCTATTATTCTGATAGCAATGAAACGCAAAACGAATGGAACTTTCAATTTCAACAACTCTTCTGGAATTGGATCTCTGTAGAAATCGTCAACGCTTGTAAATATTGAACCTTTTTGAGAGCAACTAAATACAAAACAGACGAAAAACTTTCGATAGTAGAGTTTGAGGTCATAGAATTTTCTCTCTAAATTACTTCTTATATTCAAAGTATTTATATTTTTATTCATATTAAATTCAGAAATTTTATCAATATAAAAGGTTAATCATATTAATAATTCTCGAAAATCGATCAAGATGAAAAATCGCATACATTTCATTTACTTTTAGATGATTTTATTTTGATTAAATAACTATTCAAAGCACCAAAGATGCCATCTGATGAGAATAAACACTCAGTGTCTTGATGAAGTGTCAACAACTACTTACCAAAGTTATTTTTTACGTAGCTTTCAAAGTATTTGTAGAGTAAAACAATATTCGTATCACTTTTCCGATCAACAAGGTGATATTTTGTCAAATGGTCTATGGAATTAAAACTAATTAGGCTTTATCACAAATGAGGAAAGAGGGTTTATATCAATTGTATCGAGGTCTTTTACCACCGCTTCAGAAAACTACAGGTATATCTCTTATGTTTGGAACATTCAGCCAATTCCAAAATCTACTCGATACTCGATTCGTTCTGCTCTCATTTCATAGATCAGAATTGAGCTAATTTCAAAATCTAATAAATGAAATTACTATCCATCGCTATCTCTAACTAATTTAGATTACATTGGCAGACCTTATATCAAAAGTTTAATCATGCGCAACTCAAATCAAAAGGGATTAAATCGTTATTGGTGTAAAAACCACTCAGTTTATCGTTAAATTTTATACTAAGTTAATAAATTGATTATTTAAAGTTGTAATTAAATCCCAATCATACAAAATTCCATTAATTCTGTTTGATTCATCTTCAATAGTTACTTGTATTCAATCTTTTTAGAACTATTATTAGATTGGTGTTGATTATTGACAAACGATTTGTGCGCAGTAATCTGAAATTATTCATGCTTCGAGCTCAAAATGAAACAATCGGATAGTAAAGGATCATGTCGTTGGCTTTTGTTGGTTGCATTTCAATGTTTCCTGCTAGAATCGGAAGGTAGGTAAACCATAATCATTCAAAATTAACTATTGAGAAAACATGAGGCTGAATTTTTTTATACGATTGCTAAACGTGTAAACGATTTCAACAAAGGTAATGAATCTAATCAAATTTTAACTCTAATTCTGATGATATTCCGATTTCTTGAATTCCATTTTCTTTCTTTTATTAGTTTCTTTGGCTCATGAGAAAATTAAGCGGTTTGTATCTATCCAACCATCAAATCTCGTGGAGCTCAGGCAAGTGAAAAGATTTATCAATATACAGATCATTTTCATTGCCTCTACGTATGCATTTATTTGCATTATCTATAGAAAACCTGTGTTAAAGACCAAGTGAAAAATAGTTATTTTGGAAATAGCTCATTCACTCATCAATAGCAATCTCTTGACTAATTTATTATGCCTCTGTGAGGTGACTAATTACAGTCGTCAAATGACTGAGTAGCCTCTGGTGCTACTCTCGATCGGTCATATGAGCCACCGATTTACAGAAACAATTTTCAAATTACAAATTTGATTTTCGATCTTTAGTTTACAATTTAGTTAATCATTTCTGTTGGTTCCATCAATTTGTCTCCATCTCGTTTCTTCTAATGCGGGTACTTCCAATCCTATCTCCTCGTTTCACCATTCTCTTGGTTAGTAAGTCTTTCAACTGTGGGATAAAATTTACATGTATTTCGTCGGAGCAGTTTTCTTGTCTTAGTTTACGTTGAAAAAACGTGGTCTTATTTTCATACTGTGTATTCTGTCTCGGAGTATTTTGTCCTGTAGCTCTTACCTGATTTTTCACTGACACTTTTTTTCTCCTTGGTGTTCTCTAAGTGGTTATTTAACTTATTTTAATAATTTTACACTTTTAATTGTTTTGTAACTCTTGTTAATTGTTGTTAATTTATTAAAAATTCCTTGCGACTAATGCATAGAAAATGTGGTTAAATCGCACTTAATGCTCAATAGATTAATTTTTTCTGCCTTTGGCAGTGCATTTTTTCCTATTCTAACGCCACCTAGCGTGAACTAGTTGCGATTTACCCCACAATTTTATGCGCCAATCTAGTTATGCATTAGTCAAGAGATTACTGTATATCTTTAATCGGAACATAAGCCATAAAGTTACACTTACAGAGAGTTCTGTTATCAGAAATTTTCTTTTAGAAATAACTTCTAATATTAGGCGGTTATCTACATATAGATAGAAATTCGATTCATAATACATGGAATCTAAACTTTTGTAAACAATTCCGTTTCAAAGTTACTTGTGGTATACTAGAAGTTAGTAGAATGAAGAATCAATGAAACGATTAGAAATTTTAATTATCAATTCAATGAGGTGATTGAAATTCAATCTAAAAATTCAATGGTAGATAGGAAACATAAATGAAACTTAGCTTGGTGTACAACTTGCAATATTTGTGTATTACTTAGTGTTTCACTAAATCCAAAAAGTATCGATACTCAACTTAATACTGAACGATACTTTTAACAATTCTGTCAATATCAAAAGTTACTATGGTTACATTGACCTCAGCTTCATAATCAGGGCGATCTAACCAATCGACTCTCTTCAGACCCTTGAGAATGTTTATTTCTCAAAATAGGCACTATTATCTCTTACAAGAGAAATAGAATCAAGCCTGAAAACGTGTACTAATTAATGTTTCAATTCCACTTCCACTCGATTTCAGTTGAAAAATTGTAGTATTTAAACATTAATTTCTCGATACTGGTATTAAAATAGTATTGGTACTTTCAGTTCAATACCAATACTTTAAGAGACTTACTTGAAAGGTTAGCTGTTATTGAATTCAATCACATGCTGGTAAACGCTATACAGGGTGTAAAGGAAGTTACGTTCAAAAGATGAATTTTTACTAGCGCGCAAGTGACTCAAATTTGTTTGGTTTGTATAAGATAGACGTTTTAATTTCAAACATTTAAAACTCAAATTACATATGCGACGATAGAAATTGCTCACGATCGACTGCAATCAATTCACACAAAAAACAGACCCCACCCATGAAAGTTACTCGCTTTACACCCTCTAATATCGTCAATGTGATATTTGATGGGCGGTTTTTCAGCTTAATGTAGTGTGATAAGCTGACACAGCCTCGTAACTCTAGAAGTTTTCTAATCAAATCGTACTGCTTTTGTGTCATAACCGAAATTGAAAAATTATTACATCCAGAGAAGAGTCGAAGTATTACACTTCAGCGATAAAAAAACGAAATCATGACTGCTGGTGGACAGGCTGTCAAAAAAACGACTGGGCTGTGGTCGGTTGTGGTCAGTATAATATGAACGAAAAGTCCAATCGAAACTGTCAAGACGGCAAAGAATACAATTGCTGTCCAAAATCGTTTAATTCAAATATGTAAGTTTAATTGTTGGTCGTAACATTAATTGTGAACATTCTAGTTGTAAACTTTTGCATTTAAAGCAGAAAACGTGTTTGAGTTAAGAGTTGAAATTTTGTGTATTTGTAGGACCACAAATATGAAGTCCAAATATATTTATTTTTCCTGATCTGATCAGTAGTTTCGAGAAAATCGAGTTCGAAGTTAAAACTTCATGTCACTTTTTCTAACAACGATAAGTTTTAGATCATGAAATTTTATTTATCGACAACTTTTCTTACAGAAAATTAAATTTGTTTTGTTAAAAAATATCAGGGCTCCGGTCACAATTCCGTTGTATTTAAATAAATGAACGGCGATTAGTCCCAAGTGCCGAGAATGATCTGAAACTTATTTTGAGGCTATCCTAGTATGGGTTAACATGGTTAATCAAGCACTTTTCGTTTGATCAACAGTTTTACCGGAATGAGAGTGGCCTTTGATCTTCGAGGCTAATATCGAAACTACAATACTTAGAGATGTCTAAATAAGTCAAATCGCTGTCATTTAACCAAGGCTATCAGAAGCAATAGTTTTTTGGCCGCAAAAGTGATGGTCTAGCTTAGACTAAAGTTAATTAAAAGTTATACTACACTCAAGTTATAAACACCCAAATGTTTTATGCTTGCTCGAATGAAATATTATTTCATCAAACATTGTCAAACTATTTATAGCAAAAGTGACTCTATTTTAAGGCCAAAAAACTATTGCTTCTGATAGCCTTGGTTAAATGACAGCGATTTGACTTATTTAGACATCTCCAAGTATTGTAGTTTCGGAGATATTAGGCCTCGAAGATCAAAGGCCACTCTCTCATTCCGGTAAAACTGTTGATCAAACGAAAAAAGTGCTTGATTAACCATGTTAACCCATACTAGGATAGTCTCAAAAATAAGTTTCAGATCATTCTCGGCACTTGGGACTAATCGCCGTCCATTTATTTAAATACAACGGAATTGTGACCGGAGCACTTTGGATATTTTTTTAACAAAACAAATTTAATTTTCTGTAAGGGCATGAAAAGTTGTCGATAAAATAAAAATTTCATGATCTAAAAACTTATCGTTGCTTAGAAAAAGTGACATGAAGTTTTAACTTCGAACTCGATTTTCTCGAAAACTACTGATCAGATCAGGAAAAAATAAATATATTTGGACTTCATATTTGTGGTCCTACAAATACACAAAATTTCAACTCTTAACTCAAAACTAAAATTCGGCGACCCTTCTCCTTTGAATCAGATACGCTGAGTGATTAATGATTCAAATTACTGACAAAAAGCTGAAATATTAATAGTTTTGCAATTATTTTGATTTTTTTTGTAACTAATGAGTTTCATCAATTACACAATCAAATTAATTGACAGTTGAGATAAAATGTAATAATTCAAATGATCAATTGTTTCAACTATTGATAATTAACAGGGAATCAACGACTTCTACAACTTCAACTACAACAACTCCACCTCCACCTACAGTTGATTGTTGGTGGACTGGTTGTCAAAAAAATAGCTGGGCCAGTGTTGGTTGCGCTCAATATAATCGGTAAATTAGATTCAATTTAGAATCGGTACTTTGATGATTAAGTTCCTTCGTCCTATTGCGTTTTTTACAGAACCGAGAAAAATAAACGCGAATGCGACGACGGAAAAGAGTATTATTGTTGTGTGGGTTCACCAGAATCTCGAGAGTGCTGGTGGTCAACTTGTCAACTTAAAAACGAGACAACTCGAGGTTGTCCAGTTGGTTTCGATTTCTTAAGTTCTGAACCATGTGAAGATGGAGATTTATTCCAATGCTGTGAGAATCCAGATCGGTAAGTGAAACAATGACATTGAACGACATTTTGATCGCTGACCCTTTGGTGCTTTTCATTTGATCAGAAAACTTCCCCCTGAAGTTGAACCATTTACGGGAGGTTCATATGAAAATTTCGTCCAATATTTACTACTTAAGGCTCGTAACTTTACATTGGCACCAAGCAATTTACAATGTACTCAATTAGATCCAGGAAAAGAGGTGATTATAAGTGTTGGTGAAAATGACGGGATTCGAATGTGTGACTTATGTCCCAGTTTTCCTATGGTCTATTTGAACGATTTCTTTCTTGATCGTATTCCAAGTAATACTACTTCCAATGTTGACTTTGTAAATTGTTTCGCTTCTTGTGAAGCAAACGCTCGTTGTTTAGCCTTTTCCTATGATAAAGAATCAGTTACATGTTATATGTTCAATTCAACTGTCGGTGTATTGATAAGTGACCTAGGGTGGAAAACGGTTCTCATGACTCAACCTTCAGGAGTAATCGAGAATTGGTATTATTCCCGACATACTTCAATTTCTGGTACTTTTGACAAGATCGTTGAAAAGACCCAAGGTTTTCGTGATTGTTTGACACTTTGCTCAAAGGAAGATTCTTGTAAACATGTTTCCTTTAACGTTGATACAACTCAATGTAAAATGTATTCAAATATTTTATCAATTGATTACGTTGATTTTAATTATGGTTGGTTAACAGCCTTCGATTTGAACGACATATCAGCTTCTAATCCCGATAATTCATGGCGATTTACTCGAGATGAGAACAATTTAGATCTTCTGGCCAATTCCAAGACCACTGTAGAAAATTCTTGCACCAAGATGAAAAATCTAACTCATTCTGCTTATTTCTCGAAAGAATGTTACACATCAGGAGCTCTTGGCTGTGATTCAGCGACCGGGTGTCGAACTTGTTACTATCCCGAGAATTCAGGACAACTTTTTGACAACAATTTAATCGCTTGTCCAGATAGTATAATGACGAAATCTTTCGATTTAGCGAATGAAGTATCAACTCTTCGAATGGTTTCTTGTCTATCTAATCCCAATTGTTTCGGTGTTGGTGTTAACGGTGACGTCGCCTATTCAGAGGAAATTGTTCCCGAAACTTTATCCAAAGCGTATCAGACTCGTTACATGTTGAGATACCCGAAAGAGTCCAAGGGTTTACATCCGTTCTTGATGCGAAACGATTTCCTTGCCGATTATGACTTCGTTTCTTCTGGTTCAATCACTGAAGTTTACAATGAAATGACCAAAGATAAACTTGAAGATTGTTTAGCTGAGATCAATAAGAATGATAAAATTACTAAAGTTAGTTACTCATTATCGTCCAAGAAATGTAAAGTTGGTTCTAACCAAGTAACACTAGTCAACTCACCCAATCAGGGGTTAATTACTATGATTAAACATCCAGAAATATCTTCATCATTAGCTTATTATTCAGCGATCTATGGAGTTACTCTCGATACCAGCAAAGCCAAGTTCAATATGAAAGATTGTCGCAATTGCGAGGAGACTTGTGCTAACTACTGTAAAAATGACGCCAAAAGTTGGTGCGGATACTACAGTGTTTCATACGCTTCCAATAGTGGCCAATGTTGGTTTTACGAAGACGATGATTCTTTGATGGTGAAGGCCTCAGATACAACGATTACATACAAACGAACATCAACTTTAGAGTTTAACTTGGAATCATTGAATCGATTACCGCTATTCCAACCTGATGATTTCTATGGGTGTTTCCTTGGAACTGGAGATCCAGCAACAGGTTCATCGTCAAGTAAAACAACTGGAGTTGCATTAAGGTCTCGACGGGGTATTTTCGATAAGATTGGTAACTTTTTCAAGAAAGTCGGCCAAGGAATTGTTGATACAGTGAAAAAAACTGTCAACACTGTTGTCGACACAGCTAAAGGTGTTGTTCAATCCGTTGGTAAAGTAATTAAAGGTGATCTTAAGGGTGCTAAAGATGCTTTCATGAAGATTCCAGTTGTTAACGATGTTAAAAATGTTGTTGAACTTGGAGGTGCCGTTATCAAAGGAGATTGGAACAAGGTTAAAGAAAAAGGTGCTGATCTACTTCAATCATCAACTCTCGATCTTATTACAACAGTTATTCCTGGAGGTAAAATCCTCGGCAAAGGTTTAAGTGCTGCTGGTAAAGCGCTTGGTAATACAGGTAAAATTGCCAAGAACGATGTCAAGAAAAGCATCGGTAAAAGTGACACTAAGGACAAAAAATTGAAGGACAAAGACAATAACAACAACAACAATAACAATAATAATAACAACGACAAGAATAGAGACAAAGATCAAAGAGGAAGCCAATGTCCAAGACGCGACAATCGCACTAATCGTAAGAGACGAGCAACTAATGGTCGGAAACGACCTGGAAACGACTGTGACGATGAAGATGACGGTAAACGTGAGGGATGTGCAAGACCAAATGTCAATAACATTATTGACACAACAACAAGCGAATGCAACAATCGTAAGGCTACAGCCAAATGTAATTTCGAGTGTGAACCTGGATATGATGAGAACGATCCTTCAGTAACATGCACTCGAACGGGTAAGACTCTCGTTTGGAATCCAGCGCCAAAATGTACACTTAAAACATGTAAAGCAGGTAAAGAAGTTTTAATTGTTCTTGAAACACCAAAGTCGAGATTGAGCATCGGAGGAACATCAAAGAACGTTGTTGCTTATTGTGTGCTTTTCGATAGTAATCGTAAACTACCAATTTGGTCAGTTACCTTCCAACAAAGTTCGGACTTGAAAAAATTCCAGTAAGTTACAATCTTTTAAGTAGAATGCAAAATGTTCTAATTTCAACTGTATTTTCGATTCGAACAGGAATCGAGAACACTCATGGAAAAAGTACCCATGTACAGCTTTGGCTACTAAACAAGCGGACGATGGCGATTATTCTGGTACCAATTGGCAAAAAGGTCATTTGACTCCGGCTAATGTCGCACTTTGGTCACCAAAAGCTGCCCAATCTACTAATTTGTACATTAACGCAGCCCCACAAGACGGAAGTACCAATGGTGGAAGCTGGAGAGACCTTGAAGCTCATGTCCAATGTTTCGGTGGTCGAAAACGGATACTTGTCGCAACGGGTGTTTGTGATGCCTCGATCGGCAAATCAAAATCTTTGGGTGGAGTTGATGTTCCCTCTTGTTTCTGGAAGTTGTTATGTTACGAAGATGAAAGTGATAACACTGTTGTCGTTGGTTTTAAATCTGACAATAGTCAAATCTCAACGGGTGATGCTGGTAAAAAAGACAGAGAAACGCGAAGGAAACAAATTTTCACTCCACTTTCTCAAGCGGAAATCGGTAAACTTTATTCGGGTAAAAATCCATGGATTTCAACAGCAACTGAACTGTTCAAAGGCCGTGAGGCTGAAGCTGCGGCTGGAGCCACAAATTGGACTCCGGTGAATCCTTTACGTTGTGCAGCGGCAAATAATCTGGTTGATGATGAGAAAGATGCTTGGGCTGCTGCTTTCGCACGAATCGATTATGATATTGTGCGAGGAAAGGGACCGAAAAAACCGAAGGGTAAAACCAAGAAAAAGAGACAAGCTGAAAGAGGTTTGGGCCGTGGATGTATTGATGACAATGACTTCAAATCGGCTTTATCGTTGGTTGGACTCGCAGCAGGACTTGCAACTTTAGGCGGTGCTGATGGCAGTGATTCGCCCATCGGTGGGGTTGAAGATAATGGTGATGGATCAGTCCAAGTGAATGTTCAAAGTTGTGGTAAACGAATCATCGGTTATTATACTTCGTGGGGAAAGAAACCAATAACTGGACGAATGCTACAGAAATTAACTCATGTAATTTATGCTTTCTTGGAGATATCAGCCGATGGAACCATCAGCATTGGTTCACCAGATCGTAAGAACAGCGCTAACATTGCAGAAGAAACTGAAAAGGCGAGAAAACGATTAGAACACTTGATGTCACTTCGAAGTATGTATCCACATGTTAAGATTATGTTCGCAGTCGGAGGTTGGGAGAATTCTCAATATTTCAGTGCCATTGCCTCTTCTCCTTCAATGAGACAAACATTCATGAGTTCGGTTATCAAAATGATCGAGACTTGGGAATTCGATGGAGTCGATATCGACTGGGAATACCCCGTAACCGGAGGTGCCAATGAAGGTGTTCCATCCGATAAAGAAAATTATGTCGCCCTGATGAAGGAAATGAGAGGTTTACTTGATTCCTTACAATCAGAAAAGGGAAGAAAAGACAAATATTTATTATCTTTCGCTGGTGCTGCTGGACAATGGACACTTGACCCTGGTTTCGATTTACCTGGTCTACTTAAATATGCCGATTTCGCCAATATCATGACCTACGATTACTTCGGTGCTTGGGCTTCTAAATGGGGAGCATATACTGGTCCTCCAGCACCTCTTTTCTTCGGAATGCCACCTCGATTCTCTGGTAAGACCAACACCGCTTGGACTGTTAAGTATTACACTTGCAAATCGAAACTTCCTCATAAATTGAACATGGGTGTTCCTTTCTATGGAAGGTATTGGAAGAATGTCGGAGATCCCGTTGATGGTAAAGATGGAATGTGGAGAACAGCGACTGCCGTCAATGGTAAATTCGAAGGAGATTTTGTTCCTTGGGACAAAATTGGAACAGACTATTTGTCTAATCCTTCATTTACTGTTACTTTCCATGAGAAATCGAAAACACCTTATGCTTGGAGTCCAAGTACAAAGACATTCTTAGGTTTCGAGAATGAACAATCCTTAGGAGAAAAAGTTAAATATGCTGTCGATAAGAATGTCGGTGGTTTGATGGTTTGGGCTGTTGATTTGGACGACGACGAACTGACGTTACTTGATATCGTCAGTAAAGCTCCATTGTGTTCAAATACTGATCCAAATGACAATAAACACGTTTGCTCACCAATCGATGAAAAGAGATGGTGGACGCCCGAAGATGGAAGCGACAAAGAAGGACTTTGTGGTAAATCAGCTCCTCTTTACAAAGGTTATTATCCAGTTTGTGACCCCGATGACCCAGGGTACAGTTGTTGTGGTAAATTTGGTTATTGTGGAACTGGACCCGATTTCTGTGATTGTCCTTCATGTAAAGACTTTGGTAAAAACCCCAAGATCATTTTAGAAGGAGCAATTAAGCCTTCCGTTCCTGTTCAATGGTACATTCTAAGTGATCCTGATGGTAAAAGAGGAAGATGTGGACGAAAGATCGAGAAACTGAATGGCCAGTATCCAATTTGTAACCCGGACGATGACAACAATCATTGTTGTTCCAATGGCGGTTATTGTGGTGCAACACCCGAACATTGTACCTGCTCGGGTTGTGTCGATTTCCGAAAGAATCCCAACTACAAATGGGGACCCAAAAAGTGGTGGACATTAGAAGACGGAGAAAACCTCGGAGGAGCTTGTGGGCCAAAAGCACCAAAAGTAGACGGAGTTTATGAAGCCGAATGTGATCCAGATTCACTGACTCATTATTGTTGCAGTTCGCAAGGTTGGTGTGGAGCCGGAAAAGACTTTTGTGATTGTAATGGTTGTAGAAACTTTAAAAACAAAAGTTAATCAACTAAAATCTATTAAGCTATTCTTTTGCTGAACAAATCAACATATGTAATCAATTAAACGATTCAATCCCAACTTTCTCGAATCTGAATTTCTCATGAACGGATGTTCAGATTTTTCCGTTTTGTAGGTCTTTTGGATGAATTTTTTAATACCTTAACCTCTCATAGACTCCTTGTAGCTTGAGCGTAATCTTTACCCAAAATTTTGACAAATCTTATTCAAGAATGTAGATAAGCATTAAAAACAAATAAACAAAACAAACACACTTAAAATTCTTGATCGGTTCATCCTCATGATTTGAGCTCGTTTTTACTAGCCCAGATTGAAAGCTTATTAAAATTATTAATGACAAGACAGTTTTTCAGCAGGTAAGAATAGTTGATCTTGACTCAAGATTCTTCAAATCAAATTATTTGGTAAGACGTAAAATGTCTGGAGATTGGCGATTATACATATATTATTATTTTGATAATTTATCATGTTTCTAATAGATTATATTGATCAAGATCAATTAAAAACCTTGAAAAAATTAACAGAGTAACTTAATTACCATAATAATCAATGACAATCTCTTGTGAGGCAAGAAACAAATGAATTAATTATTGTCAACGAAAATTTACAAACTAACAATGTTAACAGTTTTGATCTTGGACTTTACACAATTTAACTTGTTTTCTAAACGTTAGCGTTTCTGATTAATAATTCAGTTTCGAGATGGTAATTAGCTGAAAAGACAAGTAAAATTTATCACAGAAAATTAGAAACTTTTTCAATATTTGAATGTATAATTAGTTAATTAGCTAAGATATCGACATCACCACTATTATTATTATAATATCCACTTGTATGTCCATTGATTAAGACACTTCAAGTCAAGCAAGTTTCGAGGAAGCTATTTAAGCTCAAATCAGTTCTGATTAAACCATTAGTTTTGATTGTCATCAGTAATCATTTGAATAACTGATTTACTTTGTTAATTAAAGTTGGTAAAAATTTTTCTCCGTTTTTAAATCAAATCTTAATTTTCACTATGGCAAAAGTTTTCAATCCAACCTTTATCCTCGCAGTGATTGTTTTGCTTGCAACGATGAACTTTGGTTACTTTGTATCAGCTGGTAAGTTTTAATCAGTTGGTTCAGTTAATTGATAACTTAAATCTATTTTTTGGTCAATTACTGAAGTAATTTTTATTGAAGAAAATGAATTTTAGTTTCATTATATTTTTATGTTTACTAATATCAACTAAAGTTCTAGAAGACACTTGGACCGCCATAAGTTCAGATGGATCGACTACCTGCAAATACACCTACATTTATGGTAACAATTTTTAAAACTGCTCAACCACTGATACTGATGTTATTTTTATTTTCTTAGATAACGATGGCTATTTAGTTGGTCCTGAGGAAATAATTAGCGAACCCTTTGATTGTGGTGTTGGAAGTGCTAATTGTACCTTTACTTTGAAATTCATTAAAAGTTCTACAACTCAATACGAAGGAGCCGATAAATTGGATGCAAGAAGTTTCGAAAGTTTAAAGAGACGTATTCGTCAATTGGCTATTAAATCTGGTTTAAATTCCGAGGAATCGCTTATTGAAGAGGGGGCAAAGTTGTGCACCATTCAACCAGGACATCGGGTGAAAATAGTATCAAGACCTCGCTATCATAAGTTAACCGGTACTCTCGAAGAGCGATGTGTTAGGTATTAATCCGCACTTCCTAAAACCCTATTGGTAATCGATGATTGGTAACAATTTACCTTTGGATTAACTTTAGTTTCTTTTCTTCTTTTTATTATCATTTTGATTTTAATCATTTTTCTTTATTTTAATCTTATAAGAAATGACAATTAGACTCATCAACCTTAATAATGGGTTAATTCTAAATTTCTGTTTTAATCATTTAATCATCTAAAGATAACTCATTGTTTTCTTTATTAACAACTTATCTTGGTTAACCTTATAAGGAAAGTATCTTCTGTTTAGCTTGATTAAGCTAACGTATTTATGTTTCTTTTGATTTACTTTGTAAGCCTAAAGGCGCCATTTCTTATCTTAAATTTTGTTCTTTTCTAAATGCTTTCCATTTAGAATCTATTGATACATTGATTTAACCATAGTGTTAATCAGTTAGAGTTTTACTTTGAAACTGTTCGTTTCATATTCTAATTCAATTAAAAAACCATTTCATTGATTAATCTGTGCGCTTAATTACGGTCCTAAAAGTACTTGTAAGATTAGATTGTGAAGGACTAATCGCTCTTCTGTGTTCGATAATTAATCAGTAGATTAATTGTGAAACTCTAGCGAGACTCAGTAAAATTCAACCTATTGGTAAATGAATTTCCCTGTTTCAATAGAAACACCAAGTTACTCAGTCAATCCCCAAAATCTTCCCTTCACTTGGCGACCTAGGCAGGATCGTTTTTAAGTGTATTAACAGTGCTTATGGTACAAACACGTAATCGTGCTTACCCATCACCACACCCAGTGAATAGTTCACCTGAACTCTCAAGCTCATCAGAAACTCATATCTTATCTGATCCTATTGGAACTCAAGAATTGTTCGAAATGGCTACTCTCATCAAAGATATTCCTTCTGAGGAAATCACCCTTCTCGACCACTTTAGTGTTACCCATCCACCCAATTCTTTCCTTAAGAAAGACTCTATGAAGTCGTTGCCACCAATCTTTAGCTATTGGTGAAGAACTTGAACCTCTGATATTGATGACCTATCGGTCCAGGAGGTAAAAGATGTGGATGTTCCCAATGGGTTCGTAATTATCGACAAAATGGTTTCCTTGAATCCGAGATTCGTAATTTGATTGTCAACATAGGACGACCAAGACACTCTCGAGTCAGTTACTGAAACTGAACTACGTGAAATTGGCCTTCCTTTCGGTGTTATTAAAAAGATAATTAATCTTCGTGCTAGTGCAACTACAGCTTCTACATTGCCTATTGGTAACAATTATCCCGAGCCAAATGAACCCCGTCCAAATACTCCAATTACTCATGAAGATGAACCTATCAGTCACTCTTCAACTCATCTACCTGACATACTTGGTCTAGTTAATACAATGCTTCAAAGCAACAAAAAAGACCCAAAGGTGGTAGAATTTATTAAAGGAGAGGACATGGCCGAATGGATTAACAAATCAACCCACAGATTAGGACTGGAAGACTGTACCGATGCCACTAGGCTAAGATGTCTAAAGGTCTCCATGAGATACTTTCGCTTTCTTCTCGAATACCATCGACTATTACTGACTATCATGAGTATGTCACTGCTCTCAAAGAGGCATTGAACATTCCGGCTATAACGGCAGATGATGCCTATCAGCTAAAGAATCTCATGTACGACCTCACAATTGCCCCACAGGAGTTTTTGGATAAACTTCGTCGACTCAATAGAAGAGTTAAAGGTAAAATGGAGGACAAAGGTTTCCTGTTCGATATTTTAACTCATATTCCTGAGTATATTGCTGATGAAATCTATCGACAAGGTGCTAACAATGATGAAGCTAAAATCATCAACATTCTCTATCGATATTATTACGATAGAAAGAAAAAAGCTGAAAGATCTAAAAATGAAACCTCAAGAGGTCAAGGATCCAGCAAACCAAAACACAAAAGTGAATCGTCTGATCCTAAAGGAAAAATCGACGAAAATCAAGGTAAAAAACCATATTGTACTTCTTGTCACAATACAGGTCATGTTTGGAGAAATTGCAGAAAGAGATTAGAAAAATTGGAAAAATCTCGCTCTAACGAAACATCTCAACAACCACAACCTTCAACTTCGCAGTCATCTAGTGATAAAAAGCCCACCAATGTCAACGTATTAAGTGGATCAACTCTACAGAGTGACCCTCCTGATGCTATTAGACTCAACCATATATTTTCGGTTAACTCTGAAATTCCTTCCTCAGCTATTCTCACCGAAATGGGAGATGTTCAAGGAATGGAACACATGGCTCTGATTCAACTCAACATTGAACATTCTAATGGTAACCCAATTGAAAGTTGTCGTGTCCTATTGGATACCGGTGCTACAGCTTCTGTCATCGACTACGAACTAGCGTTAAAATGTGGAGTACATATCGTACCTACATTCAGCCAACTGAAAGGTGTATCAGGTTCTTTAGATGCTGTCGGTTTCGCTTACGCTTCTTTTGTGCATCCAGAAATTGGTGATGTACGATTGGTTAAATTTAAAGTCGTCCGAAACTTTGAGCCTACTATTCTTATTGGATCTGTTTTCGTACATTTGTACTACATGCAGATTAACTCCGATGGAAAGTACTTTATCTGCAAAGCGAGAGCAACACCAGATGGAAAGACCCTAAAAGGTGAATTTAATTTTCGCTTCATTACCTCTAAAGAGACTGACCTTGTGCTTGATAAAGCAAAATCAATTGCAAGAAACAATTTTTACCCTCATGATATTGTTGATAAGCTACCATTCGACTTCGATCAAAGCTCAAAACTTTACAAAATTGAAACTCAAGATAATTTTGTATTCATTGCTAGAGCAAGTGAGATTGAACTCACAAAAGGTGAATTTACTTGCCTCGAAGTTCGTTCCTTTTTAGAGAAACTAAAAGGTCAGCTTAATCCCAACTTATCTATTGATTATCAAACTCAACTCTTGGAATTGTTACAAGAATATAAAGATGTGTTCGCTCAAAATCGTCGTGATCTTGGATTCGTCCCAAAGGAGTTATGTCCTATTGAAATAGATATTGGTGACAACAAAGTGCCATATCAAAAGCCGTACCCGAGTTCTATTGGTAAAAAGAAAGAGTTCAAAAAACTAATTGACGAACTCATTGCCGCTGATATCGTCGAGGAATCTACTGCCGAAGGTGGATCACCTGCCCTATTGGTAGAACGTCCTGATAAAAGTTATAGACTCGTAATTGATTATCGTGCTCTCAATAGATTGACTAGAGTCCCTGCTTTCCCAATGCCTCGAATAGATGATATTCTGGAAACTGTTCGTGGAGGAAAGTATTTCAATTTATTTGATCTATTCCAAGGCTATCACCAAATTGAGCTTGCTCCTAAAGAGAGAGAAAAGACTGTCTTTGTAACTCCTGACAATAAGTTTCAGTACAAGAGATTGCCTATGGGCTTAGCAGCAGCTCCATACGCTTTTCAAAAACTAATCAATAAAGTCCTCGAAGGCCTCCAATTTGACAAATGTCTAGGCTACTTCGACGATGTTCCCGTTATTGGTAAAACATGGGAAGAACTTTTAATGATGACTAGAATCGTTTTGGATCGATTCAGAAAGTACAACCTAAAGGTAAAGCTCGAAAAATGCAAGTTCGGCTACAACGAAATCGTACTTCTAGGTCATCTTGTTTCTGGTAATGGCATTAGACCTGACCCAAAGAAGGTCGAAGCTGTAAAACGCTTGCCATATCCAAAAATGTAAAGCAACTTCAAAGTATTCTCGGTTGCTACAACTACTTCTCTCGGTACATCCCAAACTTTTCGCAACTTGCCGCACCTCTATACAGATTGATCTCTAAAGAGAGAAAATTTAAAATGTTACCCGAAGATAAACAAGCTTTGGATAAGCTTAAAGATGCTTTAATTGCAAAAACCCTATTGGTACATTTTGATCCAGAGATGCGAAGAAAGATAGCAGTTGATGCATCTGATCTAGCGATTGGTGGTGTATTATTACAAGAGGATAAAAATTCAGAAAGTTATTCAAAAGAAACTCCGATTGAAGAGATAAAGGATTGGGTCCCCATTTCATTTTTCTCGCAGAAACTTCAAAAACATCAAATTCGGTACACCGTTTCCGAAAAAGAATGTCAAGCCATCCTAGTGGGAATAGATAAATTTAAACATTATCTAGAACACGAACTTTTCTTAATAGAGACTGATCATCATGCCCTTTGCCAGCTCCCGAAAACTAATTTCAAAAACGCAAGATTGCAACGCTGGGCTTGGATGATGAGTACCTATCAGTATAAAATCGTCTACCGTAAGGGATCAACTCATATGCCTGATTGCTTCTCAAGGTACCAGTCCGAGTGGAACCATCGAGCTCAAGATATCGTTGACCCTGAAGAGGAATTTTTAGATAAACTATTGTTGGTAAATCACTTACATTCTAGTGAATTAGATCTCTACGAAAGAGGTGCTAATGTTGTCAACTTCGTCCTAGAGGATCCGAACTTTTCATTAAGCCATCCCCCTGAAATAGTTTATGTAACTGAAACAAACCCCTGGATTACTAAGGTAAAACGATTTCAATCTACTGATGAACTCTGTCTAAAGATAAAGAAACTTCTCGAGGATGAAGATAAAAAATCAATGAAAAAATATTCCTGTCGAAATGGATTAATTTACCTCAAAGATCAAACTCGAACTACTGAAAGAAATCGATTGATCATTGGTCCCTCGCTCCTAAAGGAATTGTTTGAACAAGAACATTCATCTCCTCTTGCTGGACATTTCGGTGTCGAAAAAACTTATCTATCGATAGCTCGTCGTTATTACATGCCTTATTTGCATGACGAAATTAAAAAGCTTTGTGATAATTGTGATGTTTGTGCTACAGCTAAAGCCGCTTCAGTTATCTATGTGGAACCACATTCAAAGCCGATCCCGACTCACATATTCGAACGCCTCGAACTGGACGTTCAAGGCCCCATCACCATTAAAAATGTGAAAAATTGATCGTAGT